AAGTTCCTAAAACCTTGACGCGGTGTTATAATGCTTTTTCGAAAAGTTCATTTTCTTCAAAGAAGTATCTATCACGGTCGCGACACATCGCTATTCATATAGGTTAACCAAGACACCGTCCCTTTCGCAGGTAATACAAACCACATGTTTAGTATAAAGACAAATATTTCACAATGGCGATAAAGTCGTTATCAATTGCTCGGCGCTAACGATGTAATAGTCGTCCAGAGAAAGTAAACAGCGCATTCATCATTGCGCCACCTTCGATTTACGTAGCTGTCCGCTTGTGTGGACCCAGTGGTTAGTATTAATATAGCGACTCGTCCCTAATTACACGCGCCCGGGAACGCTGTTGTCGCTAAACAAATAACCTGCTGGAATTCCCTCTTACTAGGGCTGCCATTTCTAAAATGTGGCAACCAGGATCAGAGGCGTGATAACCCCGGATTTTGGAGCCCAGAACCCAGGACGACGACAGGAGAAAGGACCAGTGCTTTGTAAAGTAACACCCGATATTTAGGTTTGAGGTACTTACTAGATCTATTGAACACACAAGCTTTTTCACACATACTTGTGTCTTTGCTGGGTTAATCCAATCAAATTTTGTTGGCTCCAATTTGAGACTTGATCCATTAACATCTCAATCTCGGACACAAGTCTGTCTTTACACCCTTCTTCTTCCATCCGATGGATGTTTGACCGGCCAGTGTAAAAAGTTTCATTGGTCTCATCCACATAGCAACGAATGCTGTTATTGCGGACAGTATGGGCGACAAAGCTGATCTTTGTTGGAAGTCAGCATTTATGGTTACAGTGTTAGAATAGATTTATTTATTTTCAAAGACATTTAAATTGACGGGTTAATTGGCGACCCAAAACAGGAAATTTGTAACCCGGACTACAAATGAAACCCCGCCCGGACGCTCCCCGGACGCCCTGTAAACTAGGACAAATCCGGGGAAACCCGGACGGATGGCAGCCCTACCTCTTACTATAACAATCGAAGACTATTATCTACTTTCGGCGTTAGGTAGTTGTACAAACAGACGGATTTAATGTTGTATCCGTGTTTACACAGTACAATTAAAAAAAAAGTAACTGTTAAAACCTGTAAAATGTTTAACAAGACACAAATGAATGATTTACAAGCATTCCCAATGTAAGTAAACAGCTAAGCTAAAGCCGGCCGGGAAACGTATTGGGTACGTTAACGATGACTACAACGTCGTTAGCACAATTAAAATATTTAAATTCGCTACGTTCGCCGGGCCCAATTAGAACTTCATATTTAGAATTTATCTGAAGTAAACGTAAAAGACCAAGTGTTTTATTTTGTCAGGGATCCGTACCCAAAATGTGTCCTATTACTTTTTTTTTACAGTGGGAAATGCATTACGCATACCCCGCGCTTTGCGGTACGCGGGGTTATGTCGGACTCTCCGCGGCTTCTGGGGGCAGACAGAATGCCCCCCAGAAGGTGCAGTACCGCGGCCTACCCACTAAAACCCACCGATGCCCCTCACATACGCCTTGGCGCGAGCACGCCCATCACCGCCGCATCCTCATCGTCGTCTGACGAAGAGGACACGTCGGGGAGGGACGCGTCGCTGCCGGACAAGGTCATGGGAACTCGTGAGAACACATCCACGACCTCGTCGGCGTCTGCTCGCCTATGGCGAGCCCCACTCACCCCCCCAAAAAGGGAGGACCGGTGATCCCCAGGGGCATCCAGGGGATCAGCGACTGGTGGCAACCGGTGCAATGCAGGGCCCGGGCTTCTCCTATTACTGAGCCTCCACTATCAATCAATCACGCAATCTAATAGCCGACTACATATTAAACCGTAACAGGTAGATAGTTGAATTTTCACAGAATATGTATTGCATTTCTTATTAGCGTTTTATCAACAAATAATTCAAAAATAGAGGGGTCTCTCCATACATGAAACGTTGCCATGGCGATTAAAGAAAAAATAAGGATTATGATTTTATTTATTTTTTAAGCATTTAACTGCTAGATGTTTAAATCTAAAGAAAAGTTTACTAGAAAAAAAATCCACGCGGACCAGGCAGCGGACGGGACCTGCCTTTTTTTCTAGTAAACTTTTCTTTAAAATAAGTATTATTGCAAATCGCAATGATTGTATTTTAAATGTTATCAACTTTATACGACGATACGGAATCCTGCGTGTAGAATAAATCAACTTTAAGTGTTATCCGCGTATCCTTAATATAACGCTTTAATAATTTTAAAACAATACCCATCAAAAACTTGGATAGGTAAGTCATAAGTCTCTTAAGTCGAGCCCCGAGAACAACTATTCAGTACTTCGGCCACAATGCCCGAATGCGCTCCGAAAAACTGGAGAAACTAATTTTTGACCCAAAAAAGTCAAACCGCAGATGTTGAACGACGCCGCTTTGAACCACGCGAAAGATACAGTTGACTGAAGCTGCTCTGTCTAGGATTATAAGCGTCAAGTACTTATATAACGACACTCAGCATTGAAGTAGGACTAAAATAGGAGGGAAGCTTGAAAATTACACTCAGGGTTTCCAGGTCTCCCGATGTTACAGGAGATCTCCTATTTTTCTGAAATTTCTCCTGTTCTTCTGTTTTTCTACATGAACCTGCTGTTTTTCTTAGAATACGATTTTCCTTTTTAAATTGCATGTTGACTTGCGTTTTCCGCTATTAAGAATGTAGGTAACCTTAATTATAATAAAATAAATATGTTCTTGTATCAAAAAATAACAAAACAAGCCGCTTTGAGGGGTGGCACAGAAACACAATCGTTACAGGCCTATATCTTGATTTGATTTACCAATTCAAGGGGGGGGGGGGGGGCTGGCAACACTGATTACACTCTGTAATTTCTCAATAAAAAAAGCTGTTTAAGAATTAAAAATTCCACAAACGGTCATGCGCTTTTTTGTTAAAATCCTTACAGAAAAACATAAAGGTGGTAATCTACAAACTGTAGTGCCATTTTGTAAAGATACATAATTTTCACACGCGGATACATATCGGATCCACGCGTGAAATTTTTGTGAGTTTTTACATAATATCACAGCTGTTACGATCACGGATTTTCGTTCTTAGTACATGGTTATGATTAGACTCGATGTGTGCGAACTTCAGGCAGCTGCGGGACTTCGCGCGTTGATGGCACAGACCTTATGATTCCCGGTGGAGGCATATGTATGTGGCAGCATAAAACATGTGTGATGAAGACGAGCATTTGTACTCCAGTCATAGATATTCAATATATATTTCTATAAAAAATTACTTCTATATACAGTATATGTATTCTGTCAGTACCCTAGCCTCCCACAACACAAGCCTACTGTGCTTACTTTGGGGCTAGGCTAATTGGTGTGTGTTGGAACTATTTATAATTATTTAGTGTTTCTGGTGATGAAAGACAGCTGTTCTTTTCTCGCCAGCGTGATTAAAAAATTATTTAAAATTCGTGTTCCAATTTTAAATTACAACAGTGTTGCCAGAACATGTCGCTTTTTCACCTTTTTTATCACCTTTCTGCCAATGGATCCGCGTTCCGCATTTAACTTACATGGGTAACATGCATTCCGATTTACGAACTAATGAATGAAATTTATTAGTTCGGTCAAAATTCGAGGTTAAAATTCGAGGAGCTCGATGGCGCAAGTGGTTAGCGCGTTCGGCTGCGATCGTTGAACTTAAGCAACTTTCGCAGTGGTCGGTCATTGGATGGGTGACCAAAAATTACTATCTCCAGCTCCTCCGTGCTTCGGAAGGCACCCCGCGTGGTGGGTCATGGCTCAATCTCCCTATTCCATCCATAGGGAAGGCCTGTGCCCCAGCAGTGGGAACATTAATAGGCTGATGATGATGATGATGATGAAATGAAATTTGGAGAGACGAAAGAAGATCGGGACCAATAGTAGAGGAATAGAAGATGGTAGCTAGCGGTACCACTTCATAGTGGGCACGGGACAGCTGGGATGACTGGCGTAATATTACCAACAGAAAAAGTCTGCGGCTAATTTATAATATAATACTGTTCAAGAACTCAGCACTTCTGCTGTTATAGCCTGGAGTTACCAGAGCTTTACGTAACAGAAGAATGATGTACACCGCTTAACAGCAGGTTGGGTAAAGTAATAAGAACCTATACCTTATAATTATATGTATCACACTAATATTATAAAGGCGAAAGTTTGTGAGGGTGTATGTTTGTTACTTCTTCACGTCTAAACGACTGGAGCGATTTTAATAAAATTTGGTATGGAGTTAGTTGACACCCTGGATTGACACATAGACTACGTTTTACTGCGGGAAAATATCTCTAATAAACGGGTAACACCGCGGGTTACAGCTAATTTATTATATATTTTTTTTCCCAGAATTATGTAGAGCCAGATACATTGTGCGCATCTCAAACGCAACTCCATTTTTTACGTAACTATGTGGAAAATATATATATAGCGTCATCGGTTTAACACAAATCAAGCATTGTTGCGAAGTCGAACCATCGCGTTAGTCATGGAGGTTGATTTATCCACGACTCAGGAGATGCTAAATTTCGTAGTCTTGGACCGCCCCGGCCGGTGATGTCATGCCGCGAATAAATCTGACCGCTTGATCATCGTAAAATTCATATTTTGCCCTTTTACGACAGGCTTAATAAATATAGTCTCGCAACTTGTAAAAATAAATAACTTGCCACAAGAATCAAATAAGGGCAAGCTGGAAATTTATTAAGAGCATTATGTTCAATCTTTGTTACCCATGAAAGCTCGAGGTTTTTTTTTACGATTTAAATTATATTCTGGGCTAAAATAAAAATTAATATTTACATAACAAATTCCGTCATCCATGATCGTCGTCAGTTCATAAAATATTTAATTATGCCTTGCGTATGACTAATACGACATTGAAATCGTGCGTTAGCGCTCGCCCAAAGAATCAAGAACTGTATTCAAGTAATTATTTTTATAAGAAAGAAAAACACTCACATTTTCCTATCGCCATCGACGTGAGACTGGACCGTGAATCCAAACATGGACTGGCGGTTTCCCTTATAAACAACCCTCGACGGTATGTCCACGTTAAAACCTAGGGCACCGGCGCACGCGCACAATAATACACAGAACAACAACGCCATTGTCAAAACACTAAAATTTCACACTTCACAAAAGAAAATGAAATAATGCACTATTTTAAAATTACATAATTTAACCTCATGTTCGTTCGCATTCGGGATACGAGTTCGTTTTCGTGACGGGCGCGAGGAGAGGCGACGTGGGCTCCGCACGGCGGCTGGCACGAGACTGACTGAAGGCCGATCGCTCGCAAAAGCTACAGAATACATTACGGAAAACGTGCCGGCCGAGCGACGACGGTGAGTTTTCGCGCGATTTTCCAGGTAAACGGGAGACAGTTACGCAGACCTTTTGTACTCGGTAACAGATTATTTACTCGAACTAACCGCATAATTTATTATCAAGACAATGTCCTTAATGCAATTCAAATTGATGCCAAGGCCAATGTGACCTAGCTAAGTTCACAATAAATATGCCATATGGTTTATTTTTCCAATTAAAACACTTGGATGACTTTACATCAAAATTGAAAATGTAAATGAAAAACAAGCACTTTAGTAAAATATTTATTAAACAACAGATCGAGCACATTACCTACACTTATAGTAAATATAAAAATAACAAGAATATACAAAAACTAATCTTAATTTAATCATAAAATACTAAATCTAAAACTGTAGAGTTACCGTAAGTGATAACGTTAATCATATTTGTGAGATTATAATTTGTTACAAAATACTGAAAAATATTCTCAATAAAATAATCGTCTCTTTATTTCTTCCAATCTCTTTATAATCTCTCGATTTGATTAATTCCAAGGGCGGATCCAGGGGGGGGTCATGGGGTTCATGACCCCCCCTGGGCTGGGTACAGATGGACCAAACCCAGGGGGATTTTATTTAGGTACTTTCAATATTTAATATACCACGACTATATGACCCCCCCCCCCCCCTGGCGCCAAAGCTGGATCCGCCCTTGATTAATTCATTACCATCAGGCGGGTCGGCAAAGGCGTCCTCAAATACATGCATCATATATTGTTTTAAGCTTTCATGGTCACTTACATTATAATAATATAAGTTATTAACGGGATTGTTACCATGTATCTTGTTTTTAGCGAGTTCCCGATACAGTTACTCCGTGATCATGGCGCTTGCAACAGTTCCGAAATATCGGAAACTCGCTAAAACAAGGTACATGGTAACAATCCCGCAAATCCCTTATATTACTACATACATCATAATATAAGAATTAAACTAAAAAATCTAATTAAATAATTTTATTAGATTAACTTCGTATAGATTTGAATACTGTTATGACAATATCTCAAAGTGTGTAAATAGTACTTGAATTTAAGCTATCGCTTAGGACCTTTGACTGGCGTGACATTGTGTGCGGTTTTGCGTCAAATTGATATTACTTATGAAATTTATCAATCGTTTCATTAAAAAATAACAAGAATACTTAAATCTAAAGAAAATATGACTAGAAAAAATTCCACGCGGACCAGGCAGCAGACGGGACTCGAACCCGCACCCTTCGCAATCCGGGCGAATGCACTGACCAATTATGCTACCGCGGCCCTCACGGACCGCGTCGAAATTCCTCTAGCCATTCTTAAGCTGCAAGGCAGCGCCATCTCTTCGCATTATAGGTAACCCACAATGTCAAATGAATACTTTTACAAGTATTAAACATTTGAAAGAAGAAATTTTTCTTTAGATTTAAACATCAAGCAGTTACATGCTTTAAAATTATAAAAATTGTAACTATAATTGCTATTTCTTCTTTCAAATGTTTAATACTTGTAAAAGTATTCATTTGACATTGTGGGTTACCTATAATGCGAAGAGATGGCGCTGCCTTGCAGCTTAAGAATGGCTAGAGGAATTTCGACGCGGTCCGTGAGGGCCGCGGTAGCATAATTGGTCAGTGCATTCGCCCGGATTGCGAAGGGTGCGGGTTCGAGTCCCGTCTGCTGCCTGGTCCGCGTGGAATTTTTTCTAGTCATATTTTCTTTAGATTTAAACATCAAGCAGTTACATGCTTTAAAATTATAAAAATTGTAAGAATACTTAAGTTAAAATATCATGGTTATAACACATAACACCTTTCCATTCAGCTCTACGTAGAGCAATACTGTCTGAAAAAACTAGTCAAATAATACGAAAAATATGGTATACAAACGCTTGAAATTGTGAAAAATATAACATTTAACCGTATTAATTACGGAGGAGCTCGATGGCGCAGGTGGTTAGCGCGTTCGGCTGTGGTCGGTCATTGGATGGGTGACCAAAAACATCTATCTCGAGGTCCTCCGTGCTTCGGAAGGCACGTTAAGCCGTTGGTCCCGGCTGCATCTGCAGTCGTTAGCACCCGCCAATCCGCACTGGGCCCGCGTGGTGGGTCATGGCCCAATCTCCCTATTCCATCCATAGGGAAGGCCTGTGCCCCAGCAGTGGGGACATTAATAGGCTGATGATGATGATGATGATGATGTATTAATTAGCATACAAATTAAATGTCAGTGATTATTACTATTACCAAGTAGTAATAAATCAAAAAATGTAGGATATTTCCTTCGTAAATCATGTTTTTACATGAATCTTAAAGTTAACCATCTGTTAAAAGATTTCAGATGCATCAAAAAAAATACTCATGAAACAAATTTGGAATAACACTATTAACCGTGATGTTTTATTAAAAACAGATTGTAGTTTGTTCGAAAACCATTACATATAAAATTATTAAGTAACTTAATTATATAGACTATTGACGTATTTGATTAAAAATCAGAATAACAGCTTTCGTCGTCATTATTACATTACAGTCTTTTGTCATTAAGTTTTACTCATTTGTATTCAGCATCCATTTAATTATATTTAAATCAGCTGTCGTCTTGTCTTTAATTGTTCCCTAAACTTACGCTGTACACACATGCCTCCACATTTGGTAGATTTGAAATCTATTAAGAATCAAATTATATGAGAACAATTAATATAATATGCCAGTGCGAACTTCTAAAAGCAAAGAAGAAAGAGGCAATACCATATTACTTGATTCGGAAATTATCGAATCCTTAACTAATATAAACACAATGCATAAAGCAACAGTTATAAAAAATGATTTTTTTTATATTCATTTTAATCTTTTTATTTATAAAGGAATGCTCATGTTTTTTGTCTTTATTAACATTGTTTATAAGAGATGGGTTTTGGATTCGCATTTAAAAATCAATACATCCAAGAAAGATATAATAAAAATTATGACAAAAATTCACAATCTCAAATTGGAGTGAGCCATGTGAGTTTAAACTTTTTACCAAATTACATAATAATATACACGCTGGTTTGTAAATCTTAATAGAACAGGAACTGAGATTGCTTCACTAGTGGCTAACCTTATTTCGTCCATATCACATTTCTACGGAAGTCTTGTGCCTTATCTATACACGTCATTCATTTCCAATCATACGTTACGCATCAAAAAATTATAAACAAATAATTTATTCCACAATCCGTATGACTAATATTGATCAAGAAACCTTGTAAGTAAATATTTTTATTACCAAAACACAACATAACTTACTAAAACATCATTTGTAAGTCAGTTCCAATACAGGTCAAATGTAAATTTATAAGTTTTAAAAATAATTTAAACAACAGATCGTACATTTGAAATGAATGAAATATATAATAACTTCTAGCTAAAAATATGAAAAAAAAAATTATATGCCTAAAAACAAAAATCTATTAATCTAAACGTATTCCAAGCCTGTATGTCTCAAAAAAAGTTCAGTTCTTCAGAGATAAATCTATCTGTAGTCTCTCGAGGACCAACTCATTTATTGAGCTTATACCTAAATGAGAATACGATTTTATACCTTAGTACAGTCTATTTTTGGTTCTGATTTCTATAATAAATGCTTAGTGCAGCTGGTTTGGTTACTTACAGCTAAGATTTGGAGAATTTGAAGACACTCGGTGTACTCTTCTTCTGCGGTTTGTTTTCTGTCACCTATAGGAAATTATTAAGCATTACATACAGAAATTATAATAATATTGCGCGCTGCGTAAAGGAGGTAGGCAGAGGGATCCCTAAATAAAACACGCTTAAACGGGTTAAATGCGTTAATTTATTACTTTTTCAACACATTTGCTCAAAAAATGCATTTACGGAGGTAATGTATATACAACATTGTTCGAAAATTCAAAATTACGGGCTACACAACGGAGCGGTAAAACGTTTTACCGCACGTATGTACGTTTTACACATGGCGTATACTTTAGGATTTTTTTTCATTTCGGTCGAAACGCCTGCTTGGAAACGCACTTAAATATTAAAAAGAGAAAGAGACGAAAGATATAGTACTAATTTTCACCATTCGCACGTAGCGCCATTTGGAAATACGCGCACCATTTTCTTATTAGAAAAAAAAATGCTTTTCTAACCTCTTTCTTTGTTCTGTGTTCGCTTCCTTTTACATCCATAATTATTTTCATGCATGTTCACCGGTTTAACGATTTCTGATATCATCTGCTACCTATCTAACCAATTTAAAATATGCACAATCGATTTGATGAGTAATAGATGAGTCACTTCTAAATTATACCTAGTCATATGTACCTATATATTTCTATAGACCGCGATTTCTTAATAGGCGAAAATAAACAAGTTTGTACTCAGATATGGTACTTAAGTTTACGTTTAATTTAACCTTTAAGAAACAATTAAGAAATTTATTGGCAGCAATTACTTTGACATCACACAAATATTATAAAGGCGAAAGATTGTGACTGTGTATGTTTGTTACTTCTTCACGTCGTAAACGGCTGGAGCGATTTTAATAAAATTTTGTATGGAGTTAGCTGACACCCTGGATTAACACATATTATGCTACCTTTTACTGTGGGAAAATATCCCTAATAAACCGCGGGGCACAGCTAGTCGTTCATATGAGGTAAAGGACAGCCATATTATCAAGAATTACTCACCTAGCTTATACATTTACGCTGATTGAAACTCTTTCGTAAAATAATACGGAAATAACATTTAAATTTCTGATTTCAACTTTTTATTTAAAAACAATAATGCACCATAGCACGCTGCGCGACTCTGAGTTTTGTTATGAGGCCGACATTCAGAGACCACATCTCAGTCCCATAAGTCATCACTGGTAATCACGGGAAGAGATGGGGGGTGTGCAATATTCTATGCCGGCACCCCACGGCAGTCAACGGGATAGATGCACTGATTTATTTATTTATGACGATTCGCATCCTTTTTAGGCTGCGTCGTCAGAATTATCCAGCCGTACCATTACCGATGAAACTTGTTTTATTTAATGAGTGGTGTGCGTGAAAACCTAAGAAACTAATCAGAAACTTTCACATTTTACTAGCCCGCCACGACTTTGCAAGGGACGGATTTGCAATTTGCTAATGAAAAAGTGAGAAATACCTACGGAGCTTACCAAGAACCAAGACCCCATCCCAATAGGCTAGTTGCCTATATTTTAAAAAGTAGTTAATAATAAACCTTGATGTTTATTTAACCCCAAAAAAATATTATTTCTAATATTATAAATATTCGAAAACGCTCTAGACTGTCATGGCGTCTGGAATGACGTCACACCGTGCAAAGCAAACAATACGCTCTACGCCGACTATTAAAATTATTTAGTTAAAACTGAATCCATCGTATTACAAGTACTGTTTAGTGTCCTAGTATAAAAGGACAAGCATAAAACGCCAGGCAAATTATTTATATGCCACAAATGCGGAAAAAATTGTTAGAACTTGCAAGGAGGGATGGTGCCTATTCATTGTTTATCAACAAATACAAGAATAATTTTGTCATGAACATTTTAATGTAAGAATTTTGCATAACATAATCTATGAAATCAAAATGTTATACAAGCCGGATAAATTATATTGCATTATATTGATAAAACAATAACAATTTATTATATGCTTCGGTAAATCCCAATTCCATGGATGTTTTATGCTTCCTTTCTATAATTATCTGAAAATAAACTGATAAATTGTATCAAAGTAACAATAACATGAATGAGAAATCAATGAAATGTATGAAAACGGCAACCACAAGTAATGTTTTGCGCCTTGGTGACGTCAGTCTTTCTGATTGGTGTTTGCCGTCACGTGATCAAATGCCTATTTTATTCGAATTTATTTTCTAAAAATAATAATAATAATCTTTAATTATTATAATAAATAGCTTTATTTTTTATCTGTATATAATAATTCATATTTAGAAACTGTAACCCATTCGATTTATTGCTAGTTGACACAAGCCTATTTTACAGTGCGATTCAACTATAGTTCATTCGCGTTAAGAAAATAGTGACTCATCACCGACTGCCGGCCAAGCCACGCCCCCTAGCCAATTAAAACGCTAGAAATTAGTAAGGCGAGTTCACAGTGCTCAGTTGAAGTCAGACCTTCGAACTGATCGGTTGTGTATTTTGCGTACTACTTGTTTAAAATTAAATTTGGAAAATGGATATCTCACCTATTAAAAAAAATAAAAGTGGATCAATTATACATAGCGGAGAGAGACGCGTAATTTACAATGTTTATAAATATTTCAAACAGATTGATTTAAATGAGACTGTGGAGAGCATAGTAATTAAAACTGCAAGTGCATGCGGTGTGTCCGAAAACACTGTTTATAAAATTATAAAAGAACAAAAAGAAACGAATACATTGAAATCACCTGTGAAAAAAAGAGCTCGACTATCCACGGTCGATAAATTAGATGAACTAGACAAATGTGCAATAAGGAGAAAAGTACACTCTATATATTTAAATAACGAGTATCCAACATTGGACAAAATAATAACACTTTGCGAAGCTGATGAAGATATTCCTGTTTTCAAACGTACAACACTTCACAAAATACTGCACGAGCTTGGTTTTGACTTCAATAAACAAGATAGTAGAAAATTGTTAGTGGAAAGAGAAGATATTGTTTTATGGAGGCGAAAATATTTAAGACAAATAAAAGAATATAGAAACGCTAATAAAACCATTTACTATCTCGACGAAACGTGGGTAAACGCCGGACACGTAAAAACAAAAGTGTGGTTGGATACAACAATCAAGAATAAAAGACAAGCTTTCCAAGATGGCTTATCAACCGGCCCAAAAGCTCCGACAGGGAAAGGGAAAAGGTTAATTATATTGCACATTGGCAGCGAAAAAGGATTCCTGGAAGATGGTTTACTAGTCTTTGAATCTAAATCTACAAAAGATTATCATGAAGAAATGGATGGTGAAAGATTCCTTAATTGGTTCAATGGTATAATACCGAAGCTTGAACCAGGAAGTGTGGTTGTCATGGATAACGCTCCCTACCATTCGGTAAAAGTTGAAAAAATACCCACGGCCAGTTGGAATAAGCAGCAAATACTAGAGTGGTTGCAAAACAAAGACATATCTATGGATATGAGTTATTTGAAAAAAGAATTATTATTGAAAGTCGCCGAAATCGCCCCACAATATAATAAATATTTAGTAGATGAGACTGCTAAAAACAATGGCATTACAATTCTTCGTCTGCCGCCTTACCATTGTAAATTAAATCGTAATAAATGTAACGGGAGAATCTAGCGATACTGATTAGCGATTTAAGTACTTAGTTTTAAGACAATTTTGTATTTTTTTATTTTAGTACTTATTACGATTAATCCAAATATGTGTTACTCTACTAATATAGCGTTTAAGTTGACATTAAAAATTACCTTAATAGGAATATTTTAACATGTTTAAAATCATTGATACTTTATTATTTTTCTATTAAACTTATTTAATGTTTTGAAAAAAAATGTTTAATTTTTTCTCCATTATGAATACACCCTTACCCTGCAGTTGCACTGATGAGTCACTATTTTCTTAACGCGAATGAACTATAAGAACAGGACCGACAGGGCGCCATATTGTGACGCCATAGACGCCAATTCAAACCAGTCAGGTAGAGTGAGCAAAAACATTTTTTTTTTTAATGAAGCGAATGAATTGTTATATGTATTTTTGCATTGCATGTGTATGTTATGTGCTGTCAACAATAAAACATCTTTCTTTCTTTCAAACTTATTTACCAAGATTAAGTGAGAAAATATATCAGATTTTGAATAATATTTATTTATTAAGACTGAGTAAGAAAAAATATTATGCAGAACGTAGCTCTTTCATGGTATATCGTGTCTACACACGACACGCTATACCAGGTACAGGTACGTACCTGGGCGTTTTCCCCCGTCCCCCACGGCGACGGCTACTAGAACTAGAACCGAGGTACGAATCTCAGAGTCCTCTAGTTGAGCCAACCCCCTCAGGGGGTCTACTCTCATTCTCCAAAACGAACTTTCGATAACGAAGTTCAAACGAAATATAATTTGGCCAATTTAAGGTTATACCTAATTTGAACGATAAAATATCAAATTGAAGGTTTCTTTGAGTAGGTTTAGAAAATCTATACCTCAATCTTTATTTTAACGACGAATATTATTATAATTCAAAACGAACCAGAAACATAGTAAGAAAAGTGCGAAGTTTCGATCGAAATTTCGTTTTTCGTTGAATTAGAGTAGGCCTCCAGGTTCGAGTGGTCTAGAGGCTCCAGACGGATAGGAGACTCCCCCCGTGGGGAGATGCCATCCGCCTGGAATACCTCTAGAGGCATTCGTAAGAATCTCGCCGTCCCCAAATCCGGTGACGCTGTAAAGGTCATCTGCGACCAACAGCATACACACTAAAAAAAAGCTCTAATTCTGCTCATCTCTGCACTACCGTCGGCTCAGTGCTAAAAAAAGTGTACCTAGATTTTTATACAAACCGTTCTTTTCAAGCGATATTTGACACATGGAGGTCATCGGCTTTCCTATTCTTATTTGAATCGCATAGTACTAAAAAATTAGTCAAATTGATAAATTCCCGATAAAGCACTTTTCGAGATTTTGCGTTTGTATTACTACTTGACGATTGTGTATCGTATTACTCGACGAGATATTGGGTTTTAATTGTATTATAAATTAAGGGTAGTAATGCTAAGAGCGTATTGTTCGCCAGCAAACCCTTTTTCATTATGGCGCAAAATAATTGGCATTGTCTGCTTTGTATAATTTGGTTGAATATAAAAAGTGATGCGCGCCACATGTGGCATTTAATTATTGTGGTTCATCTATCACCATGTACTCATTTAGTGACAAAAAAATTATCTCTATCTATAGAAGCTATCGCGTGGAGATTCTTGAATAGGACAACACATATAACATCACAAGCAGACATGTACCCAAGCATACAAATAGTTGTCTTTATTAGTGTAGTAAAGTATTGGATTGGAAGAGATTGACATAGAATATATACTTTATTTGATATACTTTATATACTTGTAAGAAGTTTCGAAATTTATAAACATATTTTTATATACTTTCCCAGTACTTTAATAAAATAGATCTGTCCTTTAAATGCTTTGAATCTCCATCTACTAGTATAAAAAGAAACTTAGTAGGGGGGAAAATGTCAGTGCTACTTGTTTCGATTCAATATTTGTTTCAAAATATTCATTTTTAAAAAACTAAATTTAAAGTGCTATAGATGCACCTATGCAAGATTACCAGCTAAAAATAAAACAGACAAGTGCATGTCGGATTTAGCACATTTAGGGTTCCGTGCGAAATCTGATTTATCATATAAGTACCTATTGTATTAATATTTTTAGTAAAAGAAAATATTATCGCCAAATTCTGTAAACAAAGCTGACTTCCGTGAATTCTCCATCCATTGTTTTCCGATATTTTTAAAGTAAAAATACACCACTTATTTACTCGACCATTGGGGTATCGTTGTTTAGACACCGTCGATCGATGGAGTATGAAATTTTGAGAATTAATAAAATCTGCATTATCGAAATGTTAAGTATACTAAAGGGGCACCTTTGCAGATTTTATTAATTCTCAAAATCGTTCCATCAAAATCGTTACTACCATAAATTGATTAATGGATGTTTAAAGAAATTTGATTTATTTATGTTTTTATAAAACCAGGTACGCAAATGACTCTACCCCACCTGATGTTAAATAGTGATAAAGTCCAAACGCGAAGATACTTGATACGAAGAATGATTTGATACTTACAGTTCTCTCGCCCAGCAGTAGACGCGCCTTGTCCTCTTCCAAAGGTTCGGGCGCGGCGGCCGCGCGTCTGTGCAACTGTAGCTTCTGTCTGATTGCTTGCGATAATATCACCCTGTCGCAAAGTAATCATCGTCAAAAATCTCGCCTTATTTTTGAAAAACGAAGGCGACCAACGTACTCCTTATTTTTGAACTTATTTTCGAAACGTGATCGTTAAGAGCCCTTTCACATATTTTGCAAAAAATGGTAATTTTTGAAGATTCCCCTTGAAAAAGATTTTAACTATTTCCAATAGAAGTAAACAGTAGATTTATTGTTCCTATTGTAAGTTAATGTAAAATATTTGCAAGTACTAAATTCCTTTTTTTGTACTGATCGTTCCACCGCAGCTAGTTTACGGAAAAACGATAATATGCACAACTTCAAACGCCTGAATCTCTAAATAATGTTCAATAAATTAGATCAAATTAATTAATACGTCATCAGAAATATGTTTTTGTTGTAACATCATGTATTAGAATTTTGATTTTCCATCTCATTAATTATCAAAAAAAACATTTACCTCCGTGAGTTTTCCCAAAAGACAATGCAAGTTTACCCGTATTTTGATATTGAATTAAATAGAATTACTATCAAAAACTTTCATAAAACTAATCTACCATTATTGAACTACTAAAATATTTATATATTTTTATAATTAGTTCATTGATAATTATTTTATAAGACTCGAAAGATCACCCGTGTCATGCAATATTACTAGTGCAAATCTACCTACGTGCCGATCAGTACGGCAGCGGTGTAATTTTGTAAAAGGGCTCTTAACTGTGGGCAACGATATTATATACCCTAGATACAGCAATACGAACAAAAACGTGGCCGAAACATGTCCAAAAGGTACATTGGACGATCCACGGAGCTCCGTAAGACGATTGCGTTGTCGAAAATAATATAAGGCATTATTTAAACATTAAAAGTCACCTTTAATGCACACTTATAAAGTCTTAATTTAAATACATGCGTCAAAGAGTTATGTCAGCTCGAAATGCAAGATTGTAAAATTTACGACTTATTGCTATATGCGGAAGAATATAGACCTTATTTCTTTGACTCTACGCGTAATTCTGAATGTTAGCAATATAGCAAATGCGGACAGCAAGGAAAAGAGACGGCTATATAACTGACCATGCATTTGAATATCATAAATATTTTCTATTAAATCAGTTTATATTAAGTATTAAAGCAAAATCTGCTTCAAATGCCTTAAATTCATAAACATTGATTACTTAGATACCTGTTGAAAAAATGACACTTTACGTATTATAAGTATTTTTTTTCGGATATTTTCAAGAAGTGCTTGAGTGGAGTTCAAGCACTTCTTGATAGGGACGTATTTTAACCCACGTGGTGTATCTAGGGTATTTAATATCGTTGCCTGTGGGTCTCATAAGGAAGCTAAAGGTCACAAAGCGGGCAATGTAGAGAGCGATGCTCGATATTTCCCCATGCGATGGTATCAGAAATAAGGAAATCCATAGAGCTAAGGTAAACGATATCTCTCGAAGAATTGTTGTGCTGAAATGGCAATGGGTGGAACACGTAGCGAGAAGAACCGTTGGCCGTTGGGGCGGAAAGGTTCTTGAATGGCGACCACACACCGGACAACGCTCAGTTGGCTCTACCAGTTGGACCGACGATCTGGTGGAGGTCGCGGGAAGCCGATAGATGCGAGTGGCGCAGGATCGGTATGGAGACCTTTGAGGGGGAGAGAAGCACTGCCCGATGATGACGGGAAATGGGGCTCCCCCCCTTGCCGATAGACGCGAGTGGCGCAGAATCAGTTTAGAGATCCTTAGGGGATGGTCCTTGGGGGGGGGGGGGGGGGGAGATCCTTGAGGGAAACCCCATTACCCGATGATGACGGACAACGGAATAGATGCGATCCCCACCCTTGCCGATAATTGCGAGTGGAGCAGGATCGGTGTGGAAATCCTTGGGGGGGGGGGGGGGGAGCTCCATTGCCCGACGATGACGCATCCGACTATACCATTGAACGCAACTGTTATTCAGGGAATAACCGACAGCATTCAGCCCCCATACCTACTAAGTATGCTAAATCTTTTCCCCCCCCCAGTAATCATCGAGGTCCGTTGACTCGTATAGCAGTTTTAATTTGAACACCAATCTTTGAATAATACATAATGTATTTATTCAAATACAGACACCATGTGACATTGTAAGCGCCTTGAATATTTACCATTAAGGCTGATATTCCTAATAGTAGTGGTATGTTAGATGTTCTTTCTATTTTCTTACCCCAAGCAGTCAAGGAATCCTGGCCGCCTCTTTTACTATCGAAACAAAACTATGTTGCTATGAAATGAAATCAGAAGATGTTTATCTTTATCTGATGGATAATACGAATCACTCGTAAATGAATATAATATGGTGGAACTTTTTTCACCTGCGCGTGTCGGTCTTGGTGGCCAGCAGCAGGTCGAGCCAGGTCCAGGTCACGTTGTGGTACTCCAGCGTGGGCAGCACGAGCGGCAGATCCCGTACATCCTCCAGATTCTTCTCCTTGCTGCCCTTGTATGAGACGCGCACCGGCACCTCAGGGATCTTAATGTAGATGAACAGTTTGTTCTTCTCCGCGCGCTCCTGTTGCCACCGATCATGATAAATGTGAATGTGTTATGTTATATATTAGTGATCCATGAAACAGTACTATCCGTATCGAATTATATACATTGTGGGTACAATGCGAAGAGATGGCGCTGCCTTGCAGTCTAAAACTAGAGAAAATTCGACAGGGCCGTCAGGGCATTCGCCCAGATAGCGAAGGATGCGGGTTCGAGTCCCGTCTACTGCCTAGGCCGCGTGGATTTTTCTCTATTAAACTTTTCTTTAGAAGTAAACTTGATATATAAAATTAATATCATAAAATGTCGTTAATATTAACGACCACAAAGACTAGCATTAGCCCGAAACATTATCGCAAAATATTTCTATTGACGTTTTATAACCGGTTCTTAAGTCTTTTATTAATCATTAGAAACAATTAAAATCATAAAGCGTTTTTCAAGAACCTGTGGGCTTCTATTTCATTTATTTAATATAACTACTAGTATTAAAATATTTAATATATTTATTTACACAAACTAAAAACTAATTATTTACATAACTTTAATATTTACATCACACTAGATACATTACACAGACACATTAATAATAAGTCAAAATCTTTTATAAGTATTCATCAATAAACTTAATTCACTTCAAACGATAAATATGCCGGAGAAACGTAACTCGCATAGTGCAGTGGAAACGCGCCGTTTGTTCTACGCGCGTAGGTAGTTTCGCGTATCGTGCGAAAACCACCGCCTTTTTGAATGCGTGAACTCCAGTCAATGTCCGACGTTGATGCGCTCAAATCTGTTTACCAGTTGTTGTTACCGATTCCGTTTGTTCGCTTATAATATTTGTTTCTACGTGTTGTATTGTGTTACCGTATTAGCCTTCTGTGTACATCGTGATAATTGTTACGTGTGATAAATTGTGGGATTCCCGAATACATTGGATTACCAAGAAACTGTATGTATTATTAAACAACACCCGTATATACACACGTTTATATCCACACTGGTGACCCCTGTACGAAGACGCCAAGAAAGGTAACCGAGCGCAATAATGACCGAAAGCAGTGATTCGGCAAAATCAGCAATCTCGCAAACCACCCAACACAACCGTACCGGCCGACGTCATCACCGAGAGCGCGTCTCCATTCCACCGTCCGACGTTTGCCGTGTCGGAATACGAGTTCCACCGTTCTGGCCGGAAGAACCGGAAATATGGTTTGCGCAGATGGAGGGTCAATTTTCCATATCAGGAATTACATCAGATGCCACAAAATTTAATTATGTTATTGGCCATCTGGATCCTCAATTTTCGAAAGAGGTTAAAGATGTCATCGTGTCCCCACCTGCGGAAAATAAATACGAGAAGCTGAAATACGAGCTCATCAAACGCCTGTCCGCCTCCAAAGAGAAAAAGGTGCATCAATTACTCATGCACGAGGAACTAGGGGACAGAAAGCCCTCCCAATTCCTAAGGCATTTGCAAAGTTTGGCTGGGCCTGAAGTACCAGAAGATTTCGTCCGCACTATATGGAGCAGCCGCCTACCTAACAACATCCAAACACTGCTAGCTTCACAACTCCATACCAATTTGGAAGCATTGGCGGATTTAGCCGACAGAGTACAGGATATAGTCGCACCTGTTCGTCAAGTCGCCGCTGCAGTCGCACCAGCATCTGGCACCATGGAAACTATGGCACTGGAGATCGCAGAATTGAAGGAAGCTGTAAAGAACTTGACCTTACAACTCAATCACCGCCAGTCCAGGCCACGCTACCGGTCAAGATCAAGGGATAATAGCAGAGGCCGTTCATCAACTCGATCCAACTCCAATTACCGCAAGTTTCCCATATGTTGGTACCATTTTAATTTTGGATCAAACGCGGCTAAATGTTTGAAGCCCTGCGATTACGGGAAGGCGGGAAATGCTTGAGGCAATCGGTGATGGCGACAAACGATTGCCTTTCCTCCAGTGGTCGCCTATTCGTCACTGACCGCAGATCAAAAACTCAGTTTTTGGTGGACACCGGAAGCGATCTCTGCGTATTCCCATTGAGTGCACTGCGAGAACGACGATCGAAGACCACGTACCAACTGTCAGCAGCCAACGGAAGTATCATCGACACGTATGGTTTTATTCAATTAAGCTTAGATTTGGGACTTAGACGAAGCTTTGCTTGGAATTTCGTAGTTGCTAATGTAACCAAAGCTATAATTGGAGTAGATTTCCTTAGATTTTATAATTTGTTAGTAGATGTTTGTAACCACCGCTTAATAGATAATACCACTTCATTGTCCACTGTAGCTAATGTAGATAGTGCTTTAAATTCTGTGTTGTCTGTAAAGGTCTTGACTGGAAGTTCTCGTTACCATTTAATTTTAAATGAATATCCTTCCATTACACGTCCATCTGGCACAACACAAACTACACATCATAATACTGTGCATCACATTCGCACCACTCCAGGGCCCCCTGTTTTTTGTAACCCCCGCAGGTTAGCTCCGGATAAACTTAAGATTGCACGTAATGAGTTCCAGCTAATGTTAGCTAACGGCACCGCGCGTCCATCCGAGAGTCCTTGGGCATCTGCATTACATTTAGCGCCAAAGAAGGACAACAGCTGGCGACCTTGTGGAGATTACCGTGCACTGAATGCACGTACCATCCCAGTCAGGTACCCAATCCGCCATATTCACGACTTCGCGCACAGCATCGCGGGCTGCAAGGTGTTCTCCACGATAGATCTGGTTAAAGCTTACAACCAGATTCCGGTCTTCGAGGAGGATATTCAGAAGACCGCCATCACTACACCGTTCGGCCTGTATGAGTTCCCTTTTATGACCTTTGGTCTAAGGAACGCAGGTCAAACGTTTCAAAGGTTTGTGGATGAGATGACTAGAGGGCTGGACTTCTGCTTTTCCTACCTTGATGACTTCCTGGTCTTCTCCCGAGACCCAGTGCAGCACGAGGAGCACCTCCGGCAGCTGTTTGAGCGGGTGAAACAGTACGGTATTTTAGTCAATACCGCAAAATGTGTTTTTGGAGCTACCGAAGTATCTTTCCTTGGATACCATATATCAGCTGAAGGTACTAAGCCGCTAGATAGCAAGGTACAGGCCATCAAAGACTGTCCAACCCCCAAAACAGTTAGGGAACTCAGGAGGTTTTTAGGGATGCTGAATTTTTATCGGCGGTTTTTACCTAACGCCGCTCAGAGCCAAGCTCCTCTTAATGCCCTTCTCACAGGTTCAGTAAAAGCCTCAAACCCTGTTGACATCATAGGGCCAGCTCTGACAGCATTTGAGCAGTGCAAGCAGGACCTCTGCAATGCTGCATTGTTGTCGCACCCTGACTGTGATGCTAACTTGGCAATGGTCACGGATGCATCCGACGTAGCGTTAGGCGCGGTCTTACAGCAGTTAAAAGACAATGTCTGGCAACCCTTGGCATTTTTCTCACGTAAGTTAAGCCCAGCACAGCGAAAGTATTCGCCCTACGACCGCGAACTTCTAGCCATATATGAAGGTATAAAATACTTTCGCTACATGCTAGAGGCTAGACATTTCACCGTGTTCACTGACCATAAGCCGCTTTGCTTTGCACTAAACGCAAAGTTTAGTGACCGAAAAAGCAACTGTTCGCCTCGCCAATACCGTCACCTCGACTACATATCGCAATTCACGACTGATATTAGGCATATATCTGGCCAAAACAACGTGGTTGCTGATACATTATCCCGTATTGAGGAAATTCGACCAACTATAGATTACGAAGCGTTGGCTAAATCCCAGGCAGTAGACGCCGAATTGGCTAGCCTTCTTAACGAACAGTCATCACTTCGGTTAAAAAAGATGGTATTGGATGGAGCTCACGTCGAAATATACTGTGACGTAAGTACATCATCACCGCGACCATTCGTGACAAGGCCTTTGCGAAAGCAAATATTCGATTGCTTGCATAGCCTCAGTCACCCAGGTCCAAACACAACAGCCAAGTTGGTAGCAGAACGTTATGTATGGCCAGGCATTCGTAAAGACTGTCGAGAATGGTCGCGATGTTGCCTAGAATGCCAACGTGCAAAAATAAATCGCCACGTGTCTGCTCCAATCGGTACGTTCGACTTGCCACGCGCCAGATTTTCACAAGTGCACATTGACCTCGTAGGCCCCTTGCCACCATCCCAAGGCTACCGTTATTGCCTTACCGCCGTAGACCGCTTCACTAGATGGCCAGAAGTAATTCCAATTATGGATATGACGGCTGAAACTGTAGGGCGTGCCTTTCTATCGGGTTGGATTTCACGATTTGGTTGCCCAACCGACATAGTTACCGACCGTGGGCGACAATTTGAATCTCATCTGTTCAGATTTTTAGCGAAAATAGCAGGTTTTAAGCATCGCAGAACCACAGCCTACCATCCCGCTTGCAACGGCCTAGTTGAACGATTTCATCGCCAGTTAAAAGCCGCCATTGTTTGTCACGCAGACAATAACTGGACTGAGTCTTTGCCACTTGTGTTGCTTGGTATCCGTTCGGCGTTCAAAAAGGATTTGCAAACCTCTTCCGCCGAGCTACTTTATGGCGAACCTTTACGCCTGCCAGGGGAATTTTTCCAAAACCAGGTAGATACTACCACAGACATAAGCGACTTCACGGCGCGCATCCGATTATTTGCTCAAAAATTACAACCATGCCCCGCTTCACGTCATAGCAACAATAAAATTTTCGTTTACAAAGACCTGGACTCTTCTAGTCATGTATTCCTTAGGGAAGACTCACTAAGAGGAGCATTAAGCTCTGCCTATTCCGGGCCTTTCGAAGTCTTAGATCGGGGGAAAAAAGTATTTAAAATTTCGATAAAAGGGAAAACGGTCACTGTATCTATAGATCGCCTTAAGCCAGCGTATATATTTACCGAATCAGTCCATAAAATTATAACAAGTAAGGAAACAAGTGAGAATATTAACCCGAAACCCAAAGAAAAAAAGACCACTCGTTCTGGTAGACGCGTCAGATTCCCGGATTATTACCGCCCGTAGTGACGGTCTCTGGAGGGGAGTGATGTGGGCTTCTATTTCATTTATTTAATATAACTACTAGTATTAAAATATTTAATATATTTATTTACACAAACTAAAAACTAATTATTTACATAACTTTAATATTTACATCACACTAGATACATTACACAGACACATTAATAATAAGTCAAAATCTTTTATAAGTATTCATCAATAAACTTAATTCACTTCAAACGATAAATATGCCGGAGAAACGTAACTCGCATAGTGCAGTGGAAACGCGCCGTTTGTTCTACGCGCGTAGGTAGTTTCGCGTATCGTGCGAAAACCACCGCCTTTTTGAATGCGTGAACTCCAGTCAATGTCCGACGTTGATGCGCTCAAATCTGTTTACCAGTTGTTGTTACCGATTCCGTTTGTTCGCTTATAATATTTGTTTCTACGTGTTGTATTGTGTTACCGTATTAGCCTTCTGTGTACATCGTGATAATTGTTACGTGTGACAAATTGTGGGATTCCCGAATACATTGGATTACCAAGAAACTGTATGTATTATTAAACAACACCCGTATATACACACGTTTATATCCACAAACCCAACCTTAGGTGGCACTGTCAGAAAAAAAATAGTTATTTATTAATTATATTAAATAGAGTATTAACACGTACGAGATGGCGAGAGCCCATTGCTATACACATTACCTTCATCTTCTCTACGTCGTCTTTGTCCTTCTTGTCCCGCTTGACGTAGAAGTTAGAGTTGGAATCTTTAGGCTTCTTCTTGGGCTTCTTAGAACCAGTGGACACCAAACTGGAGGTGGAAGACCCGTCCTCCTCGCCCTCTTCCATACTGTCCGGGTCGCGCTCCGGGAAACAAAACTTCAACATCGTGTTGAAGAACTTCTTCGTCAGACCTGGTGAACTCCGTATATGTCAATACAAGGTCTCCCTCCGTAGATTTACGAACCGATGGGGTAGCTTCTAGACATTCATATGTGTGTCATGTGATAATAAATAAATTTGATTATGATTATTATGTGGATAGGATAGGATGGCGACCGATATTATAATGAAGCAAATATACCCAGGGCCGGATTTAAGGCAGGGAAGGCCACAAGAGAGCGGCCCCCTGAACAGAGATAAAAAAAAATCGGCGGGTCACTAAACCGGGGGTGCAAATCGTAAGTGGTCCAGCCCAGTTATAGGGGCCTCCACTCCTTCGTTGCCCCAGCGCCCCTTCACCTCTAAATCCGGCCCTGATTATACCTACGACGCGAGAATACATAGAGGCTAGGGAAGGTCCTATCAAAAGCTGTATTTATTTAACTTTATAACAAAATAATTATTCGATTCCAGGCTGTCACCTGGACTGAATGATTTTTTAAGTAAAAACAATACAATTCTGATTTCTCAAACAATAGTCATCTTTAGCAGTAGACTTCAAAGATCAGTATTGATTTACTTATAGAATCTAACTCGTAGCTGTTACAAATAAAAATGAAAGCCAATAACCAATATTAGTCGTTTTGTGTGCTGGACTATAATAGTTTAAAAAAATCTCTTTATTCCTATTCATAAAGTTTTAGACACTAACAATTTTTTTCATGTTGAACACCGATAGAAACTTTATTTGATACACTGTCAAAATGCCTGTCAGCTGTTGTCTGTGTAACAATAGGGAATATTATGCATGATTTTTTTTATTTTTATTTACTTTTATTTTTACGTTTTAGTACTTCACATCCCCTTACGATACTATACAAATTTTCAAAGATAAAAAAAAATGTAGGTATATTTTCTAAATAAAAATAGCCACCTTGCACTGGCATTTCGATTTTTGGAACATTGGTGTGACATCATAGTTTATATCAACAAAACTAACAAGTCGACAGTTACTAGGTTATACTTATTAGAGGTTGGGCGCAAGCATACTACGAAATGTCTCTACGTTCCTTGGACGAAGTAACGCTCTCGTTGACTTTATCCTGTGAATATACCGTTTAATGTTGATTTCTTAGACTTCTACGTCACAACTGCTGTGTAACGTTTCAGATAAATTTTGTTAAAAAATAGTGATGGGGAATAGTGAAGGGACAATTCAAAAGTAATAGAGTTTATAACAAAATTGGGCCTCACATGAAATACATGCATGAAATTGAATTACATACAATTTTCATGTCCAACAGACACACAAAAAAGTATATTAGTTTACTAATATGGCGCGTAGTTGAGCAGTGATATATATTACATTTTACGGGCGCCAAAAGATGTTTCACGTCAATAATAGAAAAATGTTTAAGACTAAGTATAGAAAAAATGACATGCATGAAATAATTACAATCTTAAATCTATCGTTTCTGACATTTTGAATAAACCATGTTGAATTTATTAATTTGACATTGAAATAATTAATGATTTATGGAAATAGTATATTGCATGCCGACAAGGCAGAACATGGCTGTACTGTACTAAAATGTATATGTGTAACAACTTTGTTACCTGTATTCGCAATAAAGGGGCCGTTCAAGTATTACGTTAGCACTATAGGGGGGCAGGTGGGGCTTTGATTTGCTTATTTTTGATGACATGGGGGGTAGGGGGTCGAAATAGTGATTACCACAGCATCATGGATTCGGGTGTTATGAACTGAAGACCTTAGAGCTAAGTTGAAGACTTAAGTCTTGTAACTTGTAATTAATATGTATACCAAAAATTCGGAAGAAGTTTGTTTTGTTTGTAATAGTACTTAATAAGATTATAATATTTGTACCTCAATCTATGTTGAATTACGATTATGTGTCAATAAAATTTGTTTAAATGAATACTATGTGCGTTAAAGTCCTCTATCCTAAGCCTATTTAAGAACTGAACCTCATGAAGCTTATGAAAGCTCATGAATGAATAAAAAAATCAGAAAACATTAAAGGAAAAATGCATATCGAGGTACCAATGTTTACGTAAGCGCGGGAGGGGGGTAAGAGCTTTGCTTACTTTAGCTGACAAGGGGGAGGACGGGGTAAATAATTGTAGTAAATCTGCTTACGTATGTAGATTTTATAGGTCAGAGGAGCTGAATAAAATACGGAATCACAGTGACGAATGATACTTATATTCTGTGAAATATATTTTTACTAGGAAGTTGATACGACTGACTCCTAGCACAGCAGAACACAAAGTGAAACAAGTTTATAAGTGAACTGAATGCGTGAATGATCGAATGAGTGGGGGTTGAACGAACGAATGAAGTATTTGAGTTAAGTATACTTTGGCAATACCTAGTCATGTTACTTTCTTTTTATTACAAAAGGAATACAAACTATTATATAATTATATAGATTAACTAGCGGACCCGACAGACGTTGTCCTGTCTACACGTCTTTGTGAATCTAAACCATTCTCAGATCCCCTTGAACACACACAAAAAATTTCATCAAAATCGGTCCAGTCGTTTAAGAGAAGTTCAGTGACATACACACTCACAGAAGAATTATATATATAAAGATTTTTGCCAATTTAAATTCAATATAAATTCAACAACGTAATACTTGAACGGCCCCAAAGATGATGATTTGAATAAATACCTATCCGTATGGGCACGATGTTGACCTCGAAGTGCTCCTTGACAGCGATGCCGCCGACGGGCGGGCGGTCGCGGCAGAACACGCGCAGCGCCGCGCGCCGGGCCAGCGGCGCCCGCCCCGATGGTGCTTGAGGCACCAACACCTGACAACCGCAAACGTGAAAGCACTCATCGATATTTATTTACAGCACGGGGTGTCTGTGACAAACGACACCTGGCAGCTGAACTTCAGCATGTCGAGAAAGTGCTGAAGGATAATAACCTGAATGTACCGCCGCCGTCACAGTCGCGCCAAACCTAGCGCAGTCGACCGACAACCTGCTATACTACCTTACATGAAAGGAGTCACTGACAAGATTGGGAGGATTCTGAAGCGTGCTTCAATCAATACTTACTTCAAAAGAATAAAAATCTAAATAATACGAAAAATATTAATAATGGTTTATTTATCTCAAAAGTAACAATTGCTTTTAATTTATAATTCATCATCATCAGTATATTAATGTAACCACTGCTGGGGCACAGGCCTTCCCAATGGATGGAATAGGGAGATTGGGCCATGATACACCACAAGGGCCAAGTTTGGATTGGTGGGTGCTAACGACTGCAGATGCAGCCGGGACCAACAACTTAACTTGCCTTCTGAAGCACGGACGAGCTCGATATAGTAAATTTTTGGTCACCCATCCAATGACAGAGTTGCTTTACTTCAACAATCGCAGTCGAACGCGCTAACCACTTGCACCATCGAGCTCCTCCTCGAATATTCTTATTAGAAGAATGAATCTTAAATATAATCCAAGTTTAAGAAGTTTTTTGACGGCTGTACTATTAACCGAGTAATTAACCGAGTCACGACCGTCAGCGACTCCTGCCATGATATAAATTTGTTTAGGGGGATGCACAAAAAAATTGCCTAATCGATATACATATATATAGGGCGTCCCACGGCTACCTCACACGGAACGAAAGTATATTAAATATAGAAGATAGGATATTTTACTGAAAAAAGATATCATTTTATTTTTAATAATAACAAGAACTGCATTCACAGATTTTTTTAAAATTGCCTGTTACAACTGGGAATCAAACTCGTGAAATTTCGAGAAAAAACAACCTGATATATTTTATGATTACCATCGAAAGGGTTAATCATAAGTATTATTTTTGCTAATTAACATAGCATTTTCAATGAAAGCAAAGTCATTAAATTTATAATTTTATGTCAAATTATTTGACACAAACTAATATAAAAACGAAACGGTGCAAAAAAAATATAATAATTTATCAAATGTTCAAAATGTCTGGACCAAATATGATTATTACGCCGGTTGTACATATTAGATGGCCAGCGAGATCCCCACATCATTCATTATACAGGATGACAAGGATGACAGTTGTGTGTCAAAACATAAAAAGTTTTACACGTACATTTGAACTATTTAGGTCCCTACTTAGTTTGCCATTTCGAACTGTTTGAGAATAAAAAATTGGATGTTTAGTTTTTGGTTCTGCATATAATTTTCTTAGATAGTCTCTCACTCTCACATAACCAGCTATCTTCGCGTTTGGGCTTTATCACCACTTAACATCAGGTGGGGTAGTCATTTGCCTACCTGGCTATATAAAAAAAAATGGGTGCGTGTACTTATGTAGGCGCGTGAGAAGTTATCCTTCTTTGGCATCGTTTAAAATTAGTTTTTAATTGCATGCAAATAATTAATTACAATAAATTACTAAAAAGTCTGGAAAAGTACACAGTCAATAAAGTTCAGTTTTAATTTGAAAAAATAAATAAATAATCAAAATATTCAATTAAAATCGCTACTGAATATAATTTATTAGAACATATGTGATTTGCACTTGTATGAAACTCAAACACGTATTCCGAATATACAAACTAGAAACATGTGGATAAATATTATAAATATGAATACCTATAATAACTGTTACTTTATTACAAAAAATAAAGATGTGGTTTTTGGTTCTACTACACCAATGGTCAAGAGATGGCGCTGTAGTCTCCTCAATCGCGCTTTGGTTCCGTTGTTCCAGATTAATAAATACTTTTGATATGCCTTCACAATGCAGTCGTTAGCACCCACTAAATAGAGATTCTATTTCTATTTTGTTGGTAGATTTTCTTAATGTGCGGTAAACACAAAAGTAACGCATGAAGTTGGTCGCTAAAGCTAAAGACCAACTTCATGCTGTTAAAATTTTGTGTTACAGTGATGCGCGCGCATCTTAAAATTTCACTCTCATCATTTTTTCATAACGCGCCTAAAGAAGTATAACTTCAATAAAATAAATAAATAAATATTTCCAACACTCACACCAATTAGCCTAGCCCCAAAGTAAGCATTATAAAGGCTTGTGTTATGGGATACTAGGGTAACGGATAGAATACATATACTGCACATATATAAGTATATTTTATATAGAAAATACATATTAAACATCCATGACTGGAGTACAAATGCTCGTATTCATCACACAAACATCTGCCCCCACCGGGATTTGAACCCAAGACCTCTTGAGTCAGCGACACCATGAAACCCGGCGTACAAACCACTCGGCCACGGAGGTCGTAATATTTATGATATATAATTTGCATTACTTGAATTATCTTTTTTAACATACCTCAGGGAACGGTTCATTCGGTAGTAAATTCGTGACACGTACGTATCCCAGTTCTAACTGATGTTCCACCGAGTCATCCGACCTGGACGTCTTAGTATACCTGTTAATACATCACACTTCTATTAGACTGTACTAGCAAACCAGTGAACCAAATGTTCACCAAAACCTGATTTAAAAAAAAAATGTATTTAATTAATTGAGAACTTCGGAGATTTTGTGTGGTTTCGTTTGAAATTCGTGATTTCTCGAAAACCGGAAGTGCTACGTTACTCAAATCCGGTTTGTAGTCTTATCAGACTATTCTTAACTTATAACTTAAACATTCTCTTTATCTATCTCTTACGGTTTGGCCGCTGAAACAGCACCACAGACGGGCGGACGGACGGACTTGTCTAATAGATAAGAGATTCTGTGTTCCGTAGTGTAGTAGTAGAACATAGTAGGACAAATGCAGTACTTATTTGAAGCGTGATTACCTTGTTGGATCATATTGCTTATCAATTCGACTATTAACGGAGGATGAAGGACATGTTTTTTTTATATTAAAGATATAAAACTTTTTGGCGTAGTCCTATGTCCTCTTTCCATGAATTCTAAGAAAGTTATAATGTTATCATTGCTTTTGTGAATTATAAGTCATTGTACAGTGAACATTCGTCCGTGTGTTCGTTGTCTGATCACAAGTCAGCGAAGAGACAGCAACATTATGTATTGCTCGTAATGTAATTAAAATTGTTATAATAGTGTTGGCGACTGGCTGGTGTTGGCCGATCTCTTTTATAGAACCTTTGTATTTTATATTCTTTCATATGACGTGTATTTTGATAGTACTTATGTCAGGGTTAGACGCGAAAAAATTGTTAACTTGAGAAGACCGTGTTTTTCATCATATACCAAGTCTACCACATCATACAGTCCACATCGCACGTAGTTATCAAGTGTCATGGCGTTGCATACATATTGAAACTTTTTTTTAATTGCTAATGAGTTTCTTGCCTCCTTTTTCTTCTTCTTGTCAACTGAAAAATATCTTGAATTTATGTTACGAAAAATATTGAACTATATTACAAGAGAGAGCTTTTATATAATTTGGGCAACGTCAACAGCATAACCTACAAACTATTCACATTACTCTTCACTAGGGGTATTGACGGGGTACAGTAAACGAAATTCTATTTAGTACGTCAGTTAGATGATCAAAAAATAATGGACACGTATTTTTTCTTTGGGCAATCAACCAAAAAATGACAAAGTTATAGCGCGTCACAGTTTGGGAGTAGGGGCTCGTGACGTCACTTTTAAGTGAAAATTGTACCAAAACGTGACGTCATGCGACTTTCCAAATCAATATATCTCTGCAACGTTTATATTATGTGAAAAAAGAAAAAATACGTGTCCAATACTTTTTGATAATCTACCTGATAAACGAAGAAAAAAAATTAGTCATCATCCCTATTCTCATTTTATGCCACGGGAATAGACTGTATATAAATGGGGTAACGACTTCGTTATAAAATTTTTGAAACACGGTTGTATAGTTTGGCTACAAAACTTTTACTAGCGCACGGACTCGACGCAAATCTCGTCGGGGCTGTGCATAAAGGGTGCTAGGTCGGTAACGAGAAGTTTTGCTCACAGGAAGTTGGTGAGCAGCAGGTCGGCGATGCCCAGCTGGCCGTCGGCATCGGTGAGTCGCCAGCGCGCGGACTTGAAGCAGATCTCGTTGTGCCGGTGCGGCGCCCCCGCCCCGCCCGCGCCCCCCGCCGCCACGCCCCCGCCCCCGCCCCCACCCCCGCGTGCCTGCGTCCCGCGACCCCCGCGACCAGATCCCGCCTCGCCCACCTCTCGCCACGCGCGCACCATCGCATCCAACTCCTCGCCGAGCGACCATACCACCTCCTTGCACTCGTTCACCTGAACCGACACGAATCTGATATACCAAGTCCGACGGTTATCCATATTCAAAACATACCAAGGTATAGCAGAGGTGCCACTCCGAGACTGGCTGCAGATAGGGTTACCAACCTTTTTTCTAACAAATATAGTATTTTCGAAACTGTTACCTCTTAAAATATAGTAGATGACAAAAACATGGAAAAAAATATAGTATGTGATTAAAATATTTACTTTATTTTTGTAATGAATATATTTTTGCTGCTCCATACCCTAATACTTTAGTTTTTATTTTAGGAAAGCTTATACTAGCAAAAGTGTTCTTTAAGCAAAATATAGTAGTTTCGCCTACTATATTTTTTTAGAAATATAATATTTGATGCCTTTATATAGTAATATATTATATTATGTAGAAAGTTTGGCAACCCTAGCTGCAGACTGCAACCTCAGGCAACACTGCGGTTAGCGACTGCGGTCGACAGTAGTGTCGCCTGCGGTCGTGCTCGCTTTTCTAATTGCGTTGGCAAATCGCGACTGCACAATGCACTGCGGCATCGCGACTGCGGCCGTCGTGTCGCGGGGTCCGGAATCAATTTGATAGAGATTCATAGAAACAAATGGTGTCGCCACAGACTGCAGTCTGCAGCCCCTCTCGGAATTGTACCTTTAGTGTAATTTGGAACGTGTTAAAAACGTCACATGAATTTCCTTTGTTTAAAGAGCGAGATAGAAGACGTTCCTTAGGCTGTCTGTCTCACCTCAATCAGTCGAAAACTTTTGTATAGAAAAAAAATTGCCCACCCTTCTCTCTTAAAAGAAGTAGAAATAGCGGACTTTCCGCTTGAATAGAATTGGATAGATTAATACAATAATCATTAGTCATCAAGTTTTATAGGAAGATTTTTAAGTTGTCCACCACTATACCTTTATCCAATGTTAGAAAACAAAAGTAATACTATATGACAATAAGAAGTAAACTATTAGTCAGAGTGAGTAATATTTCTCAACATACAATTTAAGTTGTCCATCTTTATTCAACATTGTGGATATTATTGGAAACTAAAGTAAATTATACTAGAAAAAAATAATTAAAAAGGATTGCGAAAGGTGCAGGTTCGAGTCCTGTGTCTGGACCGAATGTTTATAAGTAATATTTTCTTTAGATTTATTAATCTTAAAATAAATATATTTTTTATGACATAAAAAATAACAGATGCAATTATCAAAAAATACTTTAAAATACCAACTTTGTTCTATGACTTTGTCTAAAAGTTGGGTATTTTATCATAAAAATTCGAAAAACTAGCCACAAACCTGATTGTCGAGACTTTTCAGTTCGTCGATAGCGACGGGATCGTCGCCTGTTATAGATCGATTCTTCAAATAGTATTCCTTTTCCAAGCGACGGAGTCTTGCCAAAGACTCCCGGACCTACAATCAAAACATTACAGCTTAGCCTTTAACATTCACCGTGATAAATTATGTTTCCTGTTTAAATATTGTTACAAAAGTAAACAGTATTTAATAAGAAAAATTTAACGTGATAATTTCAAAAGAATAACACCGGCATAGAATATAAATCTTATATATATATTATATACTGTGATAGCGATAACCTGTAAAAAAATATGCATATACAAAACATTTCGCATTCGCAAAACATTACATCACGCCAATTCATGTTATCTTCGACCTTGGCGCGTACAGAACGTTAATTTCGTTATTATATTCCAAGTCTTCGGTAGTATAGTGGTAAGTATCCCCGCCTGTCACGCGGGAGACCGGGGTTCGATTCCCCGCCGGAGAGAAACTTTTTTTTATCTTTTTGTTTTTTATCGCAATAGAACATTTAAATTATATTGTTTTTATTATTTTTAAACATGCCATTTTACTAATCATGAGCAAATAAGATTTTTTTATTTAATAAATCTGACTGTTAGAATTTATGAATTGGTATGGGAAAAAATATAATTTTCCGTTTTATAAACCGCAAGGGGTTTTAATCCTTTGAATATTCTTATATTTCCATGGATTAAACATTCTTTTATTCGTGGTAATGGATGAAATTCAGACGTTTAAAAGTGTTTTTTTTACTTTCAAATATTCTTACCAATATTATAAAGGAGAATGCCCATGTTTGGTACAGCTATCACAAGCATCAACTAAAAATAATATATTTATTTACTTTAATTTATACGTACGTTGGTCTATCAGAATCAGTGCCATCTTTGACCTATTGGAGGACCTGGGCATATTAGGATAATGGGGCGGGGTGCTACGTCGGAAATCTCCTCGTGTGCCCAGTCCATTTCCTGTCCCTGGTTAGTCATGATAGGGGAACGGAAATGGGTTCGGGACGGTGCATCCCGGGCATCTGCGTAATGTCTCCCACTGAGGGTGCTGTTACGGAGGTGTCGAATAGCCGACAATCTCGTAACCCCGTACGTAGTGCGAGGCCGAGGGCCGCCGTCTGCAAAGGAACTGTTTCCTTTGGAGGCGGGGGCTGCGAGGAAGACAACCTCTCTAAAAAATTACCCGGGGGTGGTCTCGGCTGGCGTCCTGGGTATCCCGGGTAGCGGCAGTCGAGTCAAGCTCGTAACCCTGCACATAGTACGGGGCCGAGGGCCGCCGCCCTCAAAGGAACTGTTTCCTTTGGAGGCGGGGGCCGCGAGGAAGACAACCTCTTCAAAAATCACCTGAGGGTATCTCGACCGGCACCCTGGGCAGCCCGAGTAGCGGTGGTCGAGACTCTGGTCGAGGCGGAAACGCCAGCGCGAACTCCGCGTCGCCTCCGGCCAACCCGTAACCCCATACGTAGTGTGGGGCCGGGGGCCGCCGCCCTTCGGGGCGGGGGCCGCAAGGAAGAAAACCTTTTCAAAAATTACCTTTTTGACGAGGCCAGGTAGGGCTCCCTCGCCCGGAAGAGGGAAAATCATGAGAATGTCATTTTTTGAAGGTAATATGTCATGCGCTCCCGCTGACGACGGGCGCTCTGGGGTAGCTGGGCCCCTGGGTGAGAAATTGGTCACTAGCGGCCTATGTGCTCCGGCTGGCCACCGGCGCTGCGGGATCGGGATTACCGGGCCCCGGAGTGGGAAATTTGTTACCGAGGCGTATGAAGGGAGTTCGGATGGGGTAGACATCCTACGTTTGATAGGCGGTGGTGATAGCGACATGGAGGAGGAAGAAGCTATGCCATCGCGGATAGTGAAGCAGGCGAAGCGAAGCAAGGGCGGGCCCGAAGCTTTGCCAAGCGCTCCGGAGGAGCAAGATGTGAGAACGGTGACGGTCACCCGGGATGACATCAAGAAAGAGATGACGATGCAGGAGATCTTAGGAGATACCCTCGCTTGCCGGAATGAGCTCGACGATGCAGGCGCAGGAGCTCCTAGCAGATAACCAGGAGGAGAGGCGTCGGTGTTACAGTAGAACCAGGGAAATGAACTGGTACGTGAGGTCGCTTACCGTCGCGCTCAAGGAGAGAGAGAAGGCTGACCGACTTGGAGAGGAGAACAAGGGCCTAAGAATGGAAGTCGAGGCCCTAAAAAAGGACGTGGACATCCTGAAGAAGACGCACCGGGCGCAACAGCCAGTGTTGACAACGGAGGCCACCGAGGAGCTGAAACGCTCCCTTATGATCAGCATAGGGAAGATGGATGGTTTTTCAAAAGGTGAGTGCTAATGGATGTATAGACCACCGTACAATGGTTGCATCAATACCAAACAAATGTTAAATGAACGGATAATAATGTGAATATTCAACTTACTATGACAAATTGGCATTTTGAAAATAAAAACAGGGGTTTTAATGTTACTGTAGTGGCGCTAAGCGTTAGCGGACGATAAATATGTTGTAAGAAGTTATAATGAATAAGTCCTGTTCTATATTAACGTTTACTACAAAATTTAGAAGGGAGTACAGCACAGAAGGTAAAGCAACACAGCACAGAGTGACAGGCAGATATTAAACAGTTGAAAAACGAATAACAAATAACATCAACATGTAAATATTTAGCAAGCTAGTGGCACGGGTTCCCCGTCTAGTAGTCGGATTGTGACTGGTGCGAGAGCGCGTTTTGAATGAGCTCCGCGACCGAACGGGTAGGAGGTGAGGCGCGGGGAGGACGGCGACTCGGCCGCAGCAGGCGGCCGGACCGGTTCGCGGTCAGCGCGCATACCACACTTTTTGATACATAATAAATATTTTTACGTGCGGTCTGTATGTTTGTCGATTTATTGTGAATATGTTATTATTGTATAATGTATTTATAATGTAAGTGTTTTTAATGTTAGTTTATATGTATGTATATTATAATAATGATATTTTATTATTTGTACTTGATATATATGGTGTATGTGTATATATAAATATATTAATACTTTATATGTGTGTGTGTTCCACCGTGTAGATATGTGGGTTAGCCACATTACTATAAAAAATGTGACAACCTCAAATCGTTAATAACCCCTATTTAAAGTTAGATTTACAGCTATTTATATATGTGATGCGATGTTATGTGACGTACTTAGCATAGATACGAAAAAGATAAAATGTCAAGTTGCTATCACAATAGTTAAGACACTAAAGACGTGAAGACAATTTTAAACAAAAATTAGTAACAAATGATTATTTGCTTTTTGATGGTACAAGCATTGTTAACTAAAACAACAATCGATTATAATGTTTAATTAATAAGGTGCTATTGTATCACTATTTTAACGATAAATAAACAAACGTCAGATAAGGGCAAAATATAAACAGTACTATGACTAATATTACTTTTAAAATGATTCCGTGATCACAATAGCCATTCTAATCAGACCTGTCTTTCCCAGTGGGCACTTTGAGCAAGTGCCCAGGGCCCCGCGATCGATAGGGAGCCCCCTCAGATCAAATACAAAGTCCCTAGTTCCTGTTAAATCACCAAACGGGGGTCATAGGGGCCCCATTATCCTAATATGCCCAGGTCCTCCAATAGGTCAAAGACGGCACTGATTCTGATAGACCAACGTATGTATAAATTAAAGTAAATAAATATATTATTTTTAGTTGATGCTTGTGATAGCTGTACCAAACATGGGCATTCTCCTTTATAATATTGGTAAGAATATTTAAAAGTAAAAAAAACACTTTTAAACGTCTGAATTTCATCCATTACCACGAATAAAGGAATGTTTAATCCATGGAAATATAAGAATATTCAAAGGATTAAAACCCTTGCGGTTTATAAAATGGAAAATTATATTTTTTCCCATACCAATTAGTGATGTAACGAATATTCGCATTCGCGAATATTCGCATATTTTTGAATATTCGCTTTCACATTCGCATTCGCAAAATCTCTGCGAATGTTTTGCGAATATGAATATTAGTTTTTTTTTTTTAAAGAAGTTATAGTTCTGCCTTTCCTTGAATATTCATTGTCACACAGTTTGCATTTAGCTCGTTCAGCATCGCAAAGTGTGAAATAAGTCCATGTTTCACTAGAATTGGATTTACTCATGTTAATAAATCACTATTACCACTCACAATCACTAACCTCAAAATTCACTTGTTTTGTTTACGGAAAGACCGGTGCGAGCGGAATGACACTTCAGTCGAATGAGTTCTGAGACTGCCACCATGCCATAGACAATTGGCGCCAATTTAAAAAAAACTAAATATTCGCTTTCGCATTCGCGAATGTCGCTACCGGACATTCGCATCCGCATTCGCATTCGCGAATGTTCAAAAAATGACATTCGTTGCATCACTAATACCAATTCATAAATTCTAACAGTCAGATTTATTAAATGAATAAATCTTATTTGCTCATGATTAGTAAAATGGCATGTATAAAAATAATAAAAACAATATAATTTAAATGTTTCATTGCGATAAAAAACAAAAAGATGAAAAAAAGATTCTCTCCGGCGGGGAATCGAACCCCGGTCTCCCGCGTGACAGGCGGGGATACTTACCACTATACTACCGAAGACTTGGAATATTACAACGAAATTAACGTTCAGTACGCGCCAAGATCACATGAATCACATGGCGTGATATAATGTTTTGCGAATGCGAAATGTTTTATCACGTTAAATTTTTCTTATTGAATATTATTTACTTTTGTAACAATATTTAAAGAGGAAACAGTGTATTTATCATGGTGAAAGCGCATGCGCGCCCGTCTCTCGAGGGTGCGGGACGCTCCGGCTATAGATACAAGGTGCCTGCCTGCGTCTGCAGCGTGTGTATGAGCCGGCGCGGGTCGTGGTCGCGGTGCAGCTGCAGCTGGAAGCGCATGCGCGCCCGTCTCTCGAGGGTGCGGGACGCTCCGGCTATAGATACAAGGTGCCTGCCTGCGTCTGCAGCGTGTGTATGAGCCGGCGCGGGTCGTGGTCGCGGTGCAGCTGCAGCTGGAAGCGCATGCGCGCCCGTCTCTCGAGGGTGCGGGACGCTCCGGCTATAGATACAAGGTGCCTGCCTGCGTCTGCAGCGTGTGTATGAGCCGGCGCGGGTCGTGGTCGCGGTGCAGCTGCAGCTGGAAGCGCATGCGCGCCCGTCTCTCGAGGGTGCGGGACGCTCCGGCTATAGATACAAGGTGCCTGCCTGCGTCTGCAGCGTGTGTATGAGCCGGCGCGGGTCGTGGTCGCGGTGCAGCTGCAGCTGGAAGCGCATGCGCGCCCGTCTCTCGAGGGTGCGGGACGCTCCGGCTATAGATACAAGGTGCCTGCCTGCGTCTGCAGCGTGTGTATGAGCCGGCGCGGGTCGTGGTCGCGGTGCAGCTGCAGCTGGAAGCGCATGCGCGCCCGTCTCTCGAGGGTGCGGGACGCTCCGGCTATAGATACAAGGTGCCTGCCTGCGTCTGCAGCGTGTGTATGAGCCGGCGCGGGTCGTGGTCGCGGTGCAGCTGCAGCTGGAAGCGCATGCGCGCCCGTCTCTCGAGGGTGCGGGACGCTCCGGCTATAGATACAAGGTGCCTGCCTGCGTCTGCAGCGTGTGTATGAGCCGGCGCGGGTCGTGGTCGCGGTGCAGCTGCAGCTGGAAGCGCATGCGCGCCCGTCTCTCGAGGGTGCGGCGTCGCTCCGGCTCCACGTGCAGCACCACGTTGTTCACCACGTCCAGCAGCATCGCGTACTGTACATCGAATTGTAATAATTTTAAAATCTCTTATCTATTAGACAAGTCCGTCCGTCTGTAGTGCTGTTTCAGCGGCCAAACCGTAAGAGATAGATAAAGAGAATATTTAAGTTATAAGTTAAGAATAGTCTGATAAGACTACAAACCGGATTTGAGTAACGTAGCACTTCCAGTTTTCGAGAAATCACGAATTTCAAACGAAACCACACAAAATCTCCGAAGTTCTCAATTAATTAAATACATAGGTTTTGGTGAACATTTGGTTCACTGGTTTGCTAGTTATTTTATAATAGCAAAGATTTCACAAGTCATAATAGGGGTGATGACGGAGTACAGTAAACGAAATTCTATTTAGTCCATCAGTTAGGTGATCAAAAAATAATGGACACGTATTTTTTCTTTGGGCAATCAACCAAAAAATGACAAAGTTATAGCGCGTCAAAGTTTGAGAGTAGGGGCTCGTGACGTCACTTTTTAGTGAATTTACACTTAAAAGTACACCAAAACTTGACGTCATACGACTATTCAAATCAATATATCTCTGCAATGTTTATATTATGTGAATAAAGAAAAAATACGTGTCCAATACTTTTTAATAATCTACCTGATAAACGAAGAAAAAATTAGTCATCATTCTTATTATTGCGACATTTTGCCGTGTAATAACGTGATATTAAATATACCTGCAGCGAGTTGGTGCACACGTCCAGGTCGTGGTGCATGAGGGTGAAGGAATCGTAGGGCTGAGTTTGTGCCCCCCAGCCGTCCCCGGCGGGAGCTTGCTCGGCCTCTTCGTGGGAAGCGTAGTAAAACTCGCACGCGCAGCGTGATACTATGCGTTGTAACTGCGAGGACAAATAATGACATTATAAAATTTTGTGTTGGGCATCTTTGTTGAAACAGTTAAATCAGTACGCGATGTTGTTCGCGTCACACACACAGTACCTGCGCCAGGCCCGTGTCGGCCAGCGTGGGCCCCACGGTGCGGCCGATGACCCCGCCCGCGGAGTGTCCCGACCCCACCAGGCGCGGCACGTCGGGCAGCGTGCTGGTCTATCCGCCCATCGCTCCGATATCCTCCTACTGACGCTTACTGGATGTTGTTCGCGTCACACACACAGTACCTGCGCCAGGCCCGTGTCGGCCAGCGTGGGCCCCACGGTGCGGCCGATGACCCCGCCCGCGGAGTGTCCCGACCCCACCAGGCGCGGCACGTCGGGCAGAGTGCTGGTCTATCCGCCCATCGCTCCCATACCCTCCTACTGACACCCACTGGATGTCGTCCGCGTCACAGACACAGTACCTGCGCCAGGCCCGTGTCGGCCAGCGTGGGCCCCACGGTGCGGCCGATGACCCCGCCCGCGGAGTGTCCCGACCCCACCAGGCGCGGCACGTCGGGCAGTGTGCTGATCTCCGCGCCCGCGCCCGCCCATCGCTCCGATATCTCTCCTACTGACACCCACTGGATGTCGTCCGCGTCACAGACACAGTACCTGCGCCAGGCCCGTGTCGGCCAGCGTGGGCCCCACGGTGCGGCCGATGACCCCGCCCGCGGAGTGTCCCGACCCCACCAGGCGCGGCACGTCGGGCAGAGTGCTGGTCTATCCGCCCATCGCTCCCATACCCTCCTACTGACACCCACTGGATGTCGTCCGCGTCACAGACACAGTACCTGCGCCAGGCCCGTGTCGGCCAGCGTGGGCCCCACGGTGCGGCCGATGACCCCGCCCGCGGAGTGTCCCGACCCCACCAGGCGCGGCACGTCGGGCAGTGTGCTGATCTCCGCGCCCGCGCCCGCCCATCGCTCCGATATCTCTCCTACTGACGCCCACTGGATGTCGTCCGCGTCACAGACACAGTACCTGCGCCAGGCCCGTGTCGGCCAGCGTGGGCCCCACGGTGCGGCCGATGACCCCGCCCGCGGAGTGTCCCGACCCCACCAGGCGCGGAACGTCAGGCAGCGCGCTGATCTATCCGCCCATCGCTCCGATATCTCTCCTACTGACGCCCACTGAATGTTGTCCGCGTGACAGACACAGTACCTGCGCCAGGCCCGTGTCGGCCAGCGTGGGCCCCACGGTGCGGCCGATGACCCCGCCCGCGGAGTGTCCCGACCCCACCAGGCGCGGCACGTCGGGCAGTGTGCTGATCTCCGCGCCCGCGCCCGCCCATCGCTCCGATATCTCTCCTACTGACACCCACTGGATGTCGTCCGCGTCACAGACACAGTACCTGCGCCAGGCCCGTGTCGGCCAGCGTGGGCCCCACGGTGCGGCCGATGACCCCGCCCGCGGAGTATCCCGACCCCACCAGGCGCGGCACGTCGGGCAGCGTGCTGGTCTATCCGCCCATCGCTCCGATATCCTCCTACTGACGCTTACTGGATGTTGTTCGCGTCACACACACAGTACCTGCGCCAGGCCCGTGTCGGCCAGCGTGGGCCCCACGGTGCGGCCGATGACCCCGCCCGCGGAGTGTCCCGACCCCACCAGGCGCGGCACGTCGGGCAGCGTGCTGGTCTATCCGCCCATCGCTCCGATATCCTCCTACTGACGCTTACTGGATGTTGTTCGCGTCACACACACAGTACCTGCGCCAGGCCCGTGTCGGCCAGCGTGGGCCCCACGGTGCGGCCGATGACCCCGCCCGCGGAGTGTCCCGACCCCACCAGGCGCGGCACGTCGGGCAGTGTGCTGATCTCCGCGCCCGCGCCCGCCCATCGCTCCGATATCTCTTCTACTGACACCCACTGGATGTTTTCTGCGTCACGCAAAGGATGCGATAGTTAATTATGAGAAGATTAGCAAATATTATATCATGATAGATACACTGATGAGACTATGAGCTGTTAATAAACCAATCCTCAAACTTATATTTGACAGCATGGACACATTTTTTATAAGAAGGCCAAGCCACTAATAAACAAGATAAAAAACTATAACATATTTGTAAACCAGCCCCTTTAAAATTTTTAACATTAATAACCAACTTTATAGAATTTGTATAATACCTTCACCTTATAGAATATCGCAGTGAAATAACACTACCTGTGTTATCGATGACTAAGTTACCAGGACTTCACGGAGTAGGGAATCTGGGCCAAGGTTGAATGACGCGAGCAATACTTTGGTATCGCATGTTTTTACAAACTATGGCGACAGCTTGCCAACAGACAGATGGGTCATAATTGCGCTTGTTTGCCATCATTTTTTTTAAAAGAAGTTGAATTTATTTATATTTTAATCATTTTTATAAATGTAAAGAACAAAACTCAACATGCCATATAAATGTCTTGGTAGCATCTCTTATCTATTAGACAAGTTGGTCCGTCCGTCCGTGGTGCTGTTTCAGCGGCCAAACCGTAAGAGATAGATAAAGAGAATGTTTAAGTTATAAGTTGAGAATAGTCTGATAAGACTACAAACCGGATGTGAGTAACGTAGCACTTCCGGTTTTCGAGAAATCACGTGATTTCTATTTCAAACGAAACCACACAAAATCTCCGAAGTTCTCAATTAATTAAATACATTTTTTTTTGGTGAACATTCGGTTCACTGGTTTGCTAGTAGTAGTTAATGCATTTACTTGGAAAGCGAAAGGCACAGTTTCGAATTTCGCCACCTGGACTCACCACTTTTTCGTATACATTTTTTTGGAGAAGCTAGACAGTCAGTGTTCTACCACTCACCCAGCAGCTGGTCTCTGTCGGCCGCGCTGACGGTCGCATAGTATTGCATAGCGGACAGGGCCCCGCTCCAGGCGACGGCTGCAGGGCTGCGTCTCACCCGCTGCCTCACCTCGGCTCGCGCGGCACATAACAGCACGTAGCCGCGCGTCTCGCAGCCCTTCAGAACCACCTGCGAGTTCACCAGCTCGACTGACGACAGACAACGTAACTTTGTTGAGTATCACTGAACATTGATGTCACAATGACGACCTCCGTGGTCGAGTGGTTTGTACGCCGGGTTTCATGGTGTCTCCGACTCGAGAGGTCCCAGGTTCGAATCCCGGTGGGGGCAGATGTTTGTGTGATGAATACGAGCATTTGTACTCCAGTCATGGATGTTTAATATATATTTCTATATAAATATACTTATATGTGTACAGTATATGTATTCTATCCGTTACCCTAGCATCCCATAACACAAGCCTTACAGTGCTTACTTTGGGGCTAGGCTAATTGGTGTGAGTGTTGGACATATTTATTTATTATTTATTTATTTAATACATTATCATCAACAACAAAAAAAATAAAGAAAATACTTTTAAGGCCACTTGTGAACGAATTGAATTGCACTATACTAACACAACAATATGTAAATAAATAAAACTACTTTTTAAGGGTTAATGCACGAAACCTTTACAAGCTTCGTCGTCAGAATTCTGACGACGAAGCCTGTAAAGGCTACGAAACGTCAATAAATAAATAAAATTTCGTGCATTAACCCGTAAAAACTAGTTTTATTTAATGAGTGATGTGCGTGAAAACCTAAGAAACAAATATGTAAATAATAATAATAATATACTATTTTATTGCCTTCATATTATGATACACTTATTAAAGCGTAAAACATATAGGAAAAACAAAAATTACAAGTATGTATCTAAAAACAACATTTAGTGGAGGCAAGAGAACGGGGCTCAACGTAAGCGGAGCCAAGGTTTGCACTGGTCCGTGCTGGTTTTCAGCCTCAACCTTTTTGCCTGTGATGTTATGAGTTTCACAGCCAGACATAAAGAATAGGGAAGATGCATGATATTTATGAAAATTTTATGATAAAAATGTTAAAAAAATATAAAAGAAATGCCACTGCAACGTTTTTATTTTACATAATGTTGTTTTTTAACAATTATTACGAATTAAAAATACTTGAAACGGAACGTATTTTAAAACACCAATCAGCGTTTAGTGACGTCACTCCTGTATGACAACTTCTTTGAGGTTATGGTTGTTAAAGTAAATATTATTTTATGGGAATATTTATTGCGTTTTTTTACATTTAATAAAAATGGAAGTTGCGTTTATCAAAGCAGACTCCAGGAATTTACCAAGAATTAGCGTTGACATGGTTATAACTTTTTTTGTCCAAAGTGCAGAGTTTTTAAGTATAGAAATGAAAGGGACTAAATTACTACGGTATGTAAAAATCGTAGTTGTTAAACTTCGTATTTTATTCAGCGGCTTCCACAAATGTTACGGCGATAATGCAATCGGCTATGTCCAAATTAAAAGAGATGGAAAATTATGTACAGTAAAAGGTCGAGTTCTCCGGAGCAAAAAGTACGTAAAGAAGGTTATCGTGTTACAGTTATTTTAAATGAAACGTAAAGCTTGGTTCAGTCCTGCCAATGTGAAGATTGTGCCACACATTTTAAACTTTATCTAATTTTCGACGTCATTCTCCAACTGTAAAATTAAAAATATGTTATAGACAGGTTTTGTAAGTATTAGGTAGGTTACTGATGCGTTTTTACGTACAAACAGATTAATTAAGCATATAACAAGTATATTCGTCGACTTACGTCAAAGTGATCTTCTCAGCATCGAATAATGGTCTTTGGAGAATAATTGTCATTTCTCTTCGCAGCTTCAAACCACTTTTTTTCAGTTTTGGGTCAGAAGTTCCAGTCAAAAACAATTTATTTGGGAACTTTGTTGAAGTAGATTTGCACAAAACATGAGTCAACACGGCTTTTTTTCGGAATATTAGTGGTATTGTTATGATCACATGATGTTGATGGATCCATATATAGATAGTCCATTTTAAATTTTTCAAAAAAATATTTCGAAAGTCGAAAAAATATGCAAAAGTATGAAAATTTAAAGCCAGCAACGAACAATTACGACCATTGACAGACAGGAGTGACGTCATCACAACCATAGGTTCGTTTTCGCGCGAAAATTTAAATTGTCAATTTAAAACCGCATTTTTTCCGATAAATCACAATGTTTTAATTTTTTAATATATCTGTGGTTTATTCTACATGGAATTCTTTAAAATGAAAACAAAAATAAAAATATTGCATCTTCCCTATTGCCAAAAGTAAAGTTGCTTAAATTTTTAAATCCATATTAATTATGTGTATATTTATATATGTATTGTAGATAGAACATATTAAATATTTACATGTAAGTATATATATATTAATATTTGTGTATTCTATAGATATCTATATCACCTGGTTTATTTAACATATATCCTTATTGCGCCCCCGTATTTTTCTTTCTCACGCTCTTACTGGTCGACTGGTAGAGAATGCCTTATGGCATTATGTCCTCTATTTACTGTTTTTTGCAATAAAGTATAAATAAATAAATGAATAGCATAGAAATCAACTCACTGAGGCAGGCGGTGTGCGCGTTGTCATCATCGAGCACGTGTTTAGCGTGCGTATGCGGCGCGTGCGCAGCCTCGTCCCCGAGCTCGTCCGAGAACACGACGGGCGCCTCCCCGCCTGCCTCCGCCACCAGCGCCGCCAGCATGCCGCCCCCGCCACCTCCCCCGCCCCCGCTGCTAGCCTGGCACTAACGACCACACAACCAACGATATTAAATACCCTAGATACAACATCACGAACAAAATCGTGGCCGGAACATGTCCAAAAGGTACATTGGAGCTCCGTAAGATGATCGCGTAGTCAAAAACAATATAAGGCATTATTTAAACATTGAAAGTACCTTTAATGCACACTGTATAAGGTCTTCATTAAAACGCATGCGTCAAAGGGTTATGACAGTTCAAAATGCAAGCTCGGAAAATTTAACGATTTATTGCTATATGCGGAAGAACAAAGACCTTATTTCTTGTCTCTACGCACAATTCTGAATGCGCTGATAGCAAAATAGCAGGTACGGACCGCGAGGAAAAGAGACGACTATATAACCGACCATGCATTTGAATATCACAAATCTCTTATCTAATAGACAAGTCCGTCCGTCCGTCCGTGGTGCTGTTTCAGCGGCCAAACCGTAAGAGATAGATAAAGAGAATGTTTAAGTTATAAGTTAAGAATAGTCTGATAAGACTACAAACCGGATTTGAGTAACGTAGCACTTCCGGTTTCGTCGAGAAATCACGTGATTTCTATTTCAAACGAAACCACACAAAATCTCCGAAGTTCTCAATTAATTAAATACATTTTTTTTTGTGAACATTTGGTTCACTGGTTTGCTAGTATTTTCTAATAAATCAGTTTATTGAAAGTATAACAACAAAATTTGCTTCAAATGCTTTAAATTGACAATGATTTTGTTGAAAAAAAAACGACACTTTACGAACTATAAGTATTTTTTTCGCAATTTTTCACGGAGTTCTGCGGCATGTTAACTTTTCAACAGTATGCGCGTGACTGTGAACTAAGAAGTGCTTGAGTGGTGTTCAAGCACTTTATAATTGGGACACATTTTGAGCGCACGTGGTGTATCTAGGGTATTTAATATCGTTGCACACAACGCACTATATTTTTCGACTAGCAGCCGCCCGCGACCTCGTCCGTAGTTCTCTGACAATCCCACAGAAACCTAACATATCTCCGAGATAAAAGTATCCTATGTCTCAATCCAGAACATAAACTATATGCATTCTTGAAATTTCATTCGAATCCGTTCAGTATTTTTTGCGTAGGAGCGTAACAAATAAACAAACTCACTTTCGCATTTTTAATGTTAATGTTAGTTGGGGTTCTGACTACCGGCACGCAACAGAGCGCAGCCGAGCGTATTTTACAATTTGATGGAAATTGTAAAACATCCACAAAGTAATAAAGTTCCTTATTTGTATGCGATTCAAACAGCTATGAAGCCGACCTGCTGCGCTTATACTCTGTTACATTCGCTCGGCAATGGAAAAAAGCATCCGCATGCAAATAAGGAACTTAACTACATGTAGATGTTTCAATTTCCTTCGACAAATTGTAATATACGCTACGCTGCGCTCCGACGCGCGCCAGGAAGTGAGAATCGTACAGTAGCTGCACCAAAAATACAACGTGGACAAAAATATCATGTTTTGTCATCATATAATCATACCCAACGCATAAGAAATAATATGGAATATGAACTGCATTAGAAAGTGGTTCCACGCAAACTGTGAGCAAGTGGATGCGGCGAAAAAATTGCGATTAACACGCCGATCACGGATTTGGTTACAATTTCCATTTGACATTATCTTATCCAATGAATCGAGAGCCGAATTCATTTACCGACATTTGATTTGTCAAAGTATTTTGTTTCGTCTGTGTGCGTGTCGCGTTAGTATTGCAGTTTTGCTTTATGAGTTTGAAACCATGTTTTACCGGCCTTTGTTAGAGAGTAATACTTCTATATCATTTGAGGAGCTGGCGAACAAACAGGTATAATTACATAAAATTAAATTTTACAGAAGCGAGCGAGTGAGCTTTTGGCGTGATTTTTAATTTGGTAATTTTAACACAATTTTAGGCGGTTTTGATTGACATGTGTTGAAATTCAAATTCAGCTGGCCCAAAACCTCCGGGCTGTAAAAATAAAGTATTATATGGTTAAAACTATCGTAATTATACTGTTTTGTTCACCAGCTCATAATTTTTAATTCGTCGGTTTTACCTGTGCAGCTGGAGGCGGCGATACCACATCGGCCTCCCGTTGGTGCTTCGGCGATGTACTCGTTTTCTCCTCTTCCTTCAAAGCTTTCGTTGAAAGATTCTTTTTCAGTTGCTACAAAATCATTATATGTTTTAATAGAAATAAAGCTGCATTTGATATATAGATAATTTGATATAATTTTAGAAAAGCCGAAATTTACCACTCAGATTAAGAATTAAAGAAAATAAATTATTATAACATCGGAATGAATTTTGTGCGAGTAAATTACTAACGCTTTGTAAATGCTCGTTTTCATAATTGAGCTTTTGAACGAAAGTTCCTTAGAAATTACTATAGAGTCTGTGCGGAAATAGAATGGGCGTGGCGAAAAACGGAACTAACATTAAGATTTTTATTTGGCAATCAAACCCAGCAATCTGTAAAACGTCAAAGTTTTGTATTGATATGGATTTGTTTGTTGTTGTGATTTCTTGCGGTTTTTTGTATTTAATCATGTCTAAAAGGGGTAAAACCTTACAAATACGGTAGAAAAGCACTACAGCGCCCTCCAATCTAAATCTCACTCTCTTTCCGCACAAACTCTAACAGAATTCTCTATAAAGATTTGTCTCATAACCTCGGTCAGAGATATCAGACAAGGTTTCTGTAAGTAGGTAACTTTATAGCTGGACGTAACTTTGATTTCCCCTTTCCACTTGTTGAGGGGTGCTTCTTTATAATAATATTCGTTTAAAAAATGGATTAGATAGTTTATTGTTCAAATTAAGTATAACCTCAATTTGGATGACCTCGTCATACGACCTCGTTTGTCGTTTCATGGTGTCGCCGACTCGAGTGGTTCGAATCCCGGTGGGTGCATATGTTTGCTAAATCTGAGCATTTGTACTCCAGCAATGGATGTTTAATATGTATTTCTATATAAATATACCTATGTATGTACCCTAGTATCCCATAACACAAGCCGTACAATGCTTACTTTGGGGCTAGGCTCATTGGTGTGAGTGTTGGAAATTTTTATTGATTTATTTCGGAGAAAGAGGGTATACCCCAGGTCCCGGTATCAGCCTATAACCTACATTTTTTTTTTGACGCAGGCAAAACCTCTATTTACAGACGACGGCGCCTTTAGAGTTATATCGCCGAACGGACCTCACACTTGGCTCACGCAAGCTTTACGGGCCCCCGCAGTGGCTGCTCACTTAAGACCCCGTAACTCTTACGGGCGCTTTACAGCATAATATCCGCTAAAAACCCTGCGAATACCCTCTAAGCTGCTTAGTGCGAAACCGCGGGAAGCCTACCACCCACCTGAGTCTTGATGTAAGTGTCGATGAGCGCGAAGGCCAGGTCCCGGTTGAGTTTGGTCCAGGCGCCGCGCAGATCGTGCACGGCCAGCCTGTGAGTGGCCCCGCTGCCTCCGGCCTCGCGTCCGTACGAGACCCGTCTTACGGACACGCAGTACCATTTCTCTACGGCCGCCGGACGCAGCACAGAGTTCTTGGATTGAAATATAACGACACAAAGTTTGGGTAATCAAGAATTTAACGTCAATAAAGTTAAAAAATTCAAATGGTTCCTATACGTACAATATAAATGCACCTAATCGACTCCATATAAATCTATGGGCTCTTTTGCATTGCTTTCTTTCTTCCTACCCACGGACGCGCTAAAATGTTCGGTCACTGAACAAAGTGGTATGATAAGTAAATTGATAAGTCATCTTAAAGGTGTGTGTGATTTGTGCATTTGAAAAAGTATAATTAGAGCATGTGCAATATTAGTTTTAAAATTGCAATTATGGAGTTACTTACACATGTAAAATGTTTTTTACTTCGTGGTTGTGCTGCGCTACTCATATAATAGTTAGTAAGTATTCTCATTGTAAATAAACTTTGTGTTTTTATGAGACCAAATTCTTTATACCTCGTTTAGATTATGCCCATGCCGCTGCCCCTCGCGTTGCCGGCAATAATTCCCTAAATATTGCTGCGGCATGATTGAGAGAAGTATGTGTTTACATACTGCCCTACCTCTCACTTCGCTTCAGAGTTTCGGCAATGGCAGACGTCGAAGTAATTACAGCGTCCGCGCTGTGTCTTTTTGCAATCCATAATTATGTTCAAAATTTAAATAATTAATAACTTTATTATAAATAAATATTAATAAATATTTAATTAATTAATGAGGAGCTTGATGGCGCAGGTGGGTAGCGCGTTCGGCTGCGATCTACAACTATCGCATCGTTAAGCAACTTTCGCAGTGGTCGGTCATTGGATGGGTGACCAAAAATTTCTGTCTCGAGTTCCTCCGTGCTTCGGAAGGCACGTTAAGCATCTACAATCGTTAGAACCCGCCAATCCGCACTGGGCCCGTGTGGTGGGTCATGGCCCAATCTCCCTATTCCATCCATAGGGAAGTCCTGTGCCCCAGCAGTGGGGACATAAAGAGGCTGATGACGATGATCATCAATAATATAAGAATAATCATTTATTTTCGGATAACAAGGATCCATAGTAATGATTTAATTAATTAATATTTTTTGATTTCACGTCCTTTTCCACCAAGCGCATGGCGCGAACTAAGCGACGCGCAGAATGTGAACACGCATTGCCACTCGCGCTGCCGGTCCTTTGACTTCCGCACAAAAAACCGCTCTTTTGGGGAGCGCCGGGCAGCGCGAGTGGCAATGGCAGTGGCATGACGAGTATCGTGTTTACATACTCGTCATGCCCACTTCCCTGCCCACTTCCCTCCTTACTCGCGCTGCATGTAAACGAGGTATTAAACCTAAAGGTTGGTACAAAATATGGTACTGTACATTAGCATTAAGACCTGTATTTTCATGTTACCTTGTTCCAAACACAATAAAGATTTATTATTATTTTTATTGAAGTTATACTTCTTTAGGCGCGTTATGAAAAAATGATGAGAGTGAAATTTTAAGATGCGCGCGCATCACTGTAACACAAAATTTTATCCCTATGTCGCTTTAGCGACCAACTTCATGTTGTTACTTTTGTGTTTACCGCACATTAAGAAAATCTACCAACGAAATAGAAATAGAATCTCTATTTAGTGGGTGCTAACGACTGCATTGTGAAGGCCTATCAAAAGTATTTATTAATCTGGAACAACGGAACCAAAGCGCGATTCAGGAGACTACAGCGCCATCTCTTGACCATTGGTGTAGTAGAACCAAAAACCACATCTTTATTTTTTGTAATAAAGTAACAGTTATAGGTATTCATATTTATAATATCAAAAGTATTTATTAATCTGGAACAACGGAACCAAAGCGCGATTCAGGAGACTACAGCGCCATCTCTTGACCATTGGTGTAGTAGAACCAAAAACCACATCTTTATTTTTTGTAATAAAGTAACAGTTATAGGTATTCATATTTATAATATTTATCCACATGTTTCTAGTTTGTATATTCGAAATACGTGTTTGAGTTTCATACAAGTGCAAATCACATATGTTCTAATAAATTATATTCAGTAGCGATTTTAATTGAATATTTTGATTATTTATTTATTTTTTCAAATTAAAACTGAACTTTATTGACTGTGTCCTTTTCCAGACTTTTTATTAATTTATTGTAATTAATTATTTGCATGCAATTAAAAACTAATTTTAAACGATGCCAAAGAAGGATAACTTCTCACGCGCCTGCATAAGTACACGCACCCTTTTTTTTATTTAATTGTTCGCCAACAAAGTTACACTTAGACATTTCTTATTTACTGGTTATCGTAAAACACTTTATTAGTGGAACTTTAATTATAGGCGATTACGACATGCAATATACACTTACTAGCAATTTAATGTAATGAAATTTTGATAATTACAATAATTTTAATACAAAGCTATTTAATATAAAAATAATATTTTAAAAGTGTCAATAATTGAACAACAGCAATAAAATAAATTAATGAAAAATAAATTTAATATAACTTTATATTAGTACGGGTGTAATAACATGATTTTAGGATATGTTGTGTTGTATTAAAGAGATTTGTGGACATTAGTGTCGATTCCGGCATGGTTCTCTAAACTTAAAACTAAATTTAACATCAGTCTCACCTTTTCATTCTGTATGGAGAATGACAAGGATACACTTTTGTCAAATTTAAGTTTAGGTTTAGAGACTCATGCCAGAATCGATACCATTGATTAACTTAAATAGTACATAATTTACCGAGAGGAGAATGTGACCGATCACCAACGGTGGTGTACTTTGAAATCTTCATAATCAATAATATACGCCGCCTCGAGTAGATAAGAAAACAAATCAAAAACTCCGTTAAAATAAAATAATCAGCGCGTTTTTTACCTTTTGTTATTTTTTCCAAATTAATTCAGAAAGCAAACAGTTAAAAAAAACATTCAGTCTACAAAATCATACTGACCACTTTTCGGAAAATAAAAAGAAAGCTACGTTAATAATGAATTTCTATAGACTTTTCTGCCCGCTCAGTGCGTTAAAATTGGATTTCCATACACTTTTCCAGCCCGCTTAGTAGTACAGCAGTAACTAGATTAAGCAGTAAGGACCTCATCCTTACTGCTTAATTTTAAACGGAATAAAACACTTTCCAAGCAGGTGTAGTTTCAAGATATTTTTCTTCATTAAAAAGTCCGCATCGTTTCTTCATCACATCGACATTTTTATTATTAAGCGTAGAATTTTAAAACGCCGACCTTTTATATGCGTGTGTCGTCAAAAAGAGTAAAAGCATAATTCCAGCACTTCCCTGGGCTATTCACATTTGCTATTTGTACCCTTGACAACAGGCCGTCCTTAACATGCTTTATTAGGAATGAAAAGAACAGACTCATGTCAAGTTTACAAATAGCAAACACGAATAGCCAAGTGAAGTGCCGGCATAGGAATAATATTCAAACAAATATTATGATAACTACAAAATGCGTATTACAGAAAGAGAAAGAAGAAGAGCAATCAAAATGCAGATAAACAATTACCTGATGTATATTTAATCATTATGTATTGAAAGGTGACTTCATGAACCATCTCTGAAGTCATTTTTTAACTAGACGACTATCATTAATAAAACAGGGAGAGAGAAAAAAACAGCCCTTACTGAGTTTCTTGTCGGCTCTTCTCAGTACAAGGTCCCGGTACTCCCGCCGTAGATTCACGAACCGATAGCGTAGCTTCTAGACATTCATGAGTGCTTGTAACAGCCTAAACGGAATAAAAGATTTTGATTATGATTATTCATAAATATTCAGTTATTGGTAGTTACCTCATCCTTGTCGGTAGACGGCGCGGTGGTCTTGAGCCATATCTCGGCGTCGTTGAGGTCGCAGTTCATGTACACAGTGGTCCAGTTGGCCCGCGGCCTACGGACCAGCCCGTCAGTGGACGGCACTAGCGACAGGCGGTGTTTAGAGCCGCACGTCACTCGAGCGCACAGCATCTCTATGCCGCGCTGCATCGACGATGACGACCAGTAAAACACCTGGTTGAGGAACAAGTTTTTTGATGTGTAACATCTTTCCTGCAGTTTGTGGAAGTAATTTCGTGAAATGGGACGGAAGTGTGTAACAGAACATGTGTGCCTAGTTTGTTTATTTTATAAAGTATAATTTAGTTCCGTTTTTTAAAGATTTAAAATAAAAAGTGGATTTTGATATGTTTAACTGTATTTTTTTACCACTTTCTCTTAACAATACAATCCCGGGACTATTCCGGGATCCCGAGATTAACAGTAGATAAGCAAGAAATCCCGGGATTAGAAAAATCGACCGGGATCGAATCCTCTAGCCGCACGTCATTCGCGCGCACAACATCTCTATGCCGCGCTGCATCGACAAAGACTACCAGTAAAACAGCTGGGGGCCAATCGCCTAACTGGATTGCTTTGGAAAACGCTATCGCTTACAATTTCATTTTGTTATTTCTAACCGCCGAAATACCTCACGCTCATTTTCTTTAACATTGTTATTACCAATGCAAAAGAAAAAAAAAGAGCGCGAGGCATTTGAAAACCTCAGGGGGCTAGAAATAACAAAATGAAATCGTAAGCGATAGCGTTTTCCAAAGCAATCCAGTTAGGCGATTGGCCCCCTGCGGCCTGACCGCCTAAGTCAAAGCGAGAGCAATACGAAAGTTGACAGCCATAACTTTTTCAAACTCTGTCTGCGATAAAATCGAAACGCCTAAAATTCACGACGTGTCGTAATGCTTATGGTTATCAAATGCTTACGTGAGTGAACGATTCAATTGCGTTATGTTCATGTATTTTTTTACAAAATTCTTTTCATTTTATAGTTGACTGAAATACATTAATATTTAATTTACAAATGTATATTATCATAGGGTGGCATAAATATTAATATTTAATAATTAGTCTTACAAAATTATTCTTAAATCAAAGACATAAGAAAATTTTAATTGGGTACCATAAATTGCACAAACAAAACGCTATGTCTGTTACATCTGCCTACGTTCTAAACTTATGCTCTGGGTGCATTTTTTTTACCCTGATTTATCAATTTTGACATAAAATGTATTAAATAAAACAAGTTTCAACGGGTTAGATGCACTGATTTTATTTATTTATCAAACCTAAGAAACAAATACATAAAATGTATGTCAAAATATACATTGTTCGTACCTGAAGCATATGTTCTGAACGTATGCCATAACTGCTGTCAGCACTTCACTTGGCTATTCGTGTTTGCTGTTTGTTAATTTGACCGCAGTCTGTCCTTATCATGCTTTATAAAGAATGAAAAGGACAAGCTGATGTCAAGTATAAATACAACAAACTCGAAACTATTGAGCATACGTCGCATAGAAATTAGAAATCTGATAACTTTTAGAAAGAAAGTATCACATCGAAGAAACTTGACTAAGTAAGTACTTTTTGAGTAAACAAAAATAATTCAAGAAATTTAATAACTTTACTTTATCACGAAGATCATGTTAATTTTGTCAAAGATAATCGCATTTTCGTCATTATAATTTAGTACTTATTTAACATTTTAGAAACCGGCACCATATTAAGTCTACAACTCCAACGTACAGTTGGAGGCCTTACTAATATGGATGGAGGAGCACCCATTCCAGGCTAGAGGGATGCAAATTGGAGCCCCGCACAGGCCAAACAGGCTTCGATGGGCCTATGGAAGAGTTTAGCGTCCCTCCTAAACGCAATTAATGATGTTACTAAAACACCAAAGGAGTGGTGATTTAAAGTAAGTGGTACTTTACTATTATTTTGTATAAAGTTTATAAGGCATCTTGTTATGTGTTCTGTATTTGTACTATTGCATGGAATTCAATTACTAATTTGAAAATGGTAACTCCCCATACATAAGGTGCTGATAAAAGCTTAACTATTTTTTTTTCTATTTGGCTGAGCCTGGCTTATGATCAATCAATGTTATTTTATTCACCTACTTAATAACATTGTAAGTTCAATTATGTTGCCTTATCTGTTTTAATTAAGCATCCATCCTATGGAAAGTACCAAGAGTAAAGTGTTACCTATAAAAACCTTTGGAGGTCTATATCTTTACCATTGATTAATTTCATGTAACATGGTAGGACTCATAGACTCATTTGTAAAGAATAATAACATACCACTTAATAAGTTTCAAAAACTGGAAAATACAAACAATCCCTTTTTAAAAAACGCTGGTAATTTGTTTCAGCTGTATTGGATTTTTGAGCTGGAAAACTGCCGGCTTTGCGACAGTCAACTGCATGGGGAAAATTTGAGGAGCGGCGACTGGAGGAACAGCAATTGCGGAGGGACGTGCTCCGAGCATTGAGAGATATTACTCATGTATTATGTTGGTTCTATAAGACTGTAACTCATGGAAATAAATAATGTGCATTTGTATCTGAAGTTGTTTATGGTAATCTTTTTACTAAAATATAACAGCAATACTACTGAATGTTTTATTTACTGAATATTATTATTGTAAGCTCCCTCCTCAACTTTATCACCTTGCAACCTTTTTCTAGGTCATGGTCTCACAGCTGTTGTTCATTGAGTAAAAAAGTAGAATAAAAATCTATTAAGAGTTAATAGCTAATAGGTGTTATTAAATTAGTAGGTCTTTGGAGACATACTGGCTGGTTTCTGAATAGCGGTGTGACCACAGTTACAAGGTCTACCATGCTTCTCAACAATAGGGTAGTCAGGAAATGAAATTATTTCTTTAAAGTTGATTAGTACCTACTAAAAAGTTTGAAACAGTTTTGAAATGAAATCATTTATTTATTTAGAGTCTATATTCAGAGTTAACAATGGTGTCAATTCTAGCACTATTTTTTAAACCTAAACTTAAATTTAACAGCAGTATATCCTTGTCATTCTCTATACAGCATGAAAAGGAGAGTCTGATGTTAAATTTAGTTTTAAGTTTAGAGAATCACGCCAGAATTGGCACCATTGTTTATATAAAAATAAATTATTGTGTTCATTTTAATACTCTTTTAACTCTGTGCGCCTTTTGACAAAGGCCTCCTTAAACTTTTTCCAGTTTTTGCTCTCCAAGCCAGCTTTGTCCAAGGGGTTTCCCTTTTATTTCTCAAATGAATAAATTCAATTTGTACCCAATTAGTAACTTGCTAATAGAAAGTAAATTTAGAATATTTGAACACTAACATAAGAAATAAATTTTATTGTTATGAATATTTAACAACAACTTATAAAATTACAGTTATATAAATCAAATTAAACTAGAGTATTAATAATAACTAGTTTCTCATTTAAAGTTAGTACATATTCAAAAGTTGTATTTAAATAAAACAAATTTGAAATGAAATCATATTTTATTCAAATTAAGTTATTGAGAGCTCTTTAATCATCCTACATTTTTTTCCTACTACCACACAGGACATCTTCTAGCTGGTGAGAAGAATGGGCGCAAGAAACTCATCAGCATTTAACATTTACATCAAATCATGTAGCTACCAATACATACAGGAAGATATAAAAATGACATGTTAAATTTAGACATTAAACTTAGGTGCTAATTAATAATTAATTAGTATAATAAAAATAAAATACAATAAATTGTAAACTAAACTTATGATACCTATTTTATCTTGTATGGTGCCTCTGCTCACAGATCCTTCTTCACACAAGTTTCTGTAAACAGTTTTAAATGGTCAATTATGGTTATGACTACTCCAGAGTAACTGACTGTCTTGCAGGACAGATGCCACGGACAGGCCTGTCTCCACTTGTGGCAAGTATGTCACGCTGTGGTTGGCGGACATGATCACACGCATGACATCCTCATCAATCTTGATACATGAGTCGCAAATAAGGTTGTGTAAAACAACACATGCATTTAAGATTTTCCCTGCTTTCTGATTTGGGTCTTGAAGATGCCAAAGCATCTTTCTATGACATTCCTAGTCCGCACATGTGAATTTGTGTAGTGATCCTCTTGTCTCCCTGGGTCAGCATGGAGGATTGGCGTCATCATCCATGCCCTTCGGGCATAGCCAGAGTCATCTGTAAAATAAATATTGTAAAACTAACACTGAAAAATACTAACATACAAAAACACTTATTTTGTATGAAAATATTCAAATAAAATGATAACAAATGATTTTTAATACACATACCCAAGAACCAGTAGATCTGTCCAATATCATAGAGTCTTTCAATTCCATTTTTCACAGGGCAACAATTCCAAACATGAGAGTCATGACTTGCACCACCAAATGATGCATCCATATGCAAAATATGTAAGTCTGCATCACACATCTGTAACAAGAGTATAATATTAAGGTTTAAACAACTATTTTATTTCATATGAGTATCACATTCCAAGAAATTATTTTTGAAAAGTTATGGTATAAATGCTTTTGGTATAGTACCTACCTTTGTGTAAAGTGTTATTTTATTAAACTAAATTTTGTTGGTATAAAGTGATTCTAATATAATATAATTCATTTAACACAAAATTTGTTAAGAGACAATTGATTAAAAAATAAGTTGCTTCATATATTTACTGTTTTATAAATAAATGTAGAGTATTTGATTGTTAAAAGGTTTTATTATAATTCAATAGACCACATTTATTCAAAAATATAGAAATAATATGTGATTCTGTAATCATGTAAGCATTTGGAAGAGATTTAGGAAGCGGTTTTAATGTAATTATTACTTACCGCAAGCACATTAAGCACAGGGAGAGGTACATTTTCCTGTTAAAATATGCTTCTTCATAGTCTTTAGGTCGTTCTGTGCGTCGAATGTTTGCATTCGACAACAAAAACGGCATCAAGTCGTCGCAAAGAGTAAGGAAATTATCCTTACTCAGGCGGAACGTTTGGACAAACGTTCGCTCCGGCAGCAACATAGGCATGCTGTCCTCCCGCAACTGTCTTCTTCGCAAGGTCAGCATTGTCTTCTGGCTCTCCTCCTCAGCTACCACCAACAGAAATATTCGAGCCATTTCTCACTAAAACAGAAAAAAAACTACAAGAGTACACAATCTTAGGTTAACAAAAGACAAAAGTAGCTATATTTTAATTTTATAAAGCAAAATAAATTGAATTATAAATATCGTATGAAAGCATGAGATGAAAACAGTGAGTCTATAGGTGTCTGCTTATCTGACAGCTTTAACGCTTACCCGCCATCTTGAAATCGCTTTCACTTTTTTTAGGCGTTTCGATTTCCTGTCAAAATAGTAGCGAGAAATTGAACGATGTCATTCAAAATTGTTAATGGCTGTCATCGGCCGCAAAGTAAATGTGAAAGCGTTATGGCTTTCATAGGCGTTTCCAAATGACAGTGTGACGTCATAAACTTTAGCATTTTTAAAGCAACGCGAGTTAGGCGATCAGGCCCCTGGTGGGAATGACGAACAAGTTTTTTTTAGATACTTTATGAGGAGTTAACAAAGCCTTCTACTTAATAGAAAATAATCGAGATCAACGAATTGGAAATGATAAGAATACGAAGTGTGATAAAAAGTGATCCCACGCAAGCTGCGATCAGGCGGGCGGGGCGAAAAAACGGCGATCAACACGCCGATTATGGCAGTGGTTAGGATTTCCGTTAACATTAGATAATGTTAAACGGCTGTATACCAATAAATGGATACCAGAAATAATTTGTAGATATTTGATTTGTTAAAACATGTACAAATAAAAGAACTCACATAACCGTAATTATAGGTATATATTACATGTGTAATTATATGGATGAATACTTCGTATTTACATATGTACGTCTTTCAGTAATTTCCATCATAGTTGTTCACCCTACCACTATTTATCCACAACACCCTATGGTTGACTGGTAGAGAATGCCTATGGCATTAAGTCCGCCTTTGTACGCTTGTGCATTAAGTATAAAATAAATAAATAAGCATTACATCAACGAGTGATCTATTTCATTTCATGTACAAGGATGAATTTAAGAAGCGACATCTATAGAGAAGCAAAAAATTTATGGACACGCTATCGGATATAACACTTGCACAGGTGTCATCCCACGTTACCTGCAGATTGTGTAGTGTGAGCGACATGCTGACGTTCCTGTAATGACGGGACAGTTGCGGCTTACGAGGCCGCACGTTGTTGAACACGCGCCCGCGTCTCGTGGGCCGGGTCACTCCCGATAAGATCAGCTTTAGGCTCTCGAACCATCTAAATGGTAGGACAGAAAAAGCTGTAGACTTTTGAAGTCAAACTTCTTTACGCATTAAATTTCTTTAAGCAGGAGAATGCGTTACGCGTTACGAAAAGTGTGTAAGGGAGAGGCGAACGGGAATTGAGTGGGGGATATAAGCAAGAGAAAGCAGTGCGCGAGCACATTTTCTTTCTCTTTTTCTCTTATTGCTAGTAAACGAAATATGTATATGAGCATACATGTATTTATTGTACACGCATATATATGCGCATATATATCTGAAATAAAAGCTCCATCTGTATGTATATATATATATTATATATACATACAGATGGAGCTTTCATTTCAGATATGTGGTCATAAGCACAATCGTTTTTTTCTTTCACGACTGCCTAATAAAAAATAATGTCATGTATTAAGGGTTCATTCTTTTTCCACTATAACTTCTAAACGCCTAAAGCGATTTAAATGTATATGTTATCGCTAATATCCTTTTACCATCCCGAGTACCATATGATACCTAAACTGTTAAATTTGTTTCAATAAGTAAAATTTAGGTCAATAAGTAAAATGATTTCTAATTTTTACATTTTATTCAAAACCAAAATATGCTAAAATGGCCTAGCCGTTTTCGACTTAAAACGAGACAAACGAACCACAGTTGTTTTTATATATAAAGAAGAAGATGATTAAAATGCTAGAATTTTTAACTAAAGACTTTTTTACTAGACATAAAAATCTGGCACTTTAACGCTTAAATGAAAATATAATAAAACTACATTGGTGTTTCTTCTTCTTCTTGAACACTATCAATACTTGTTAAACGACGAACTTGGCTGCTTTTTGTTGTTGTATACTAGCTTTCTTCATACTTTTGTCTTCCAACTTTACTTGGTCTCGGAAACAGTACCGCTTAGTACATCCGCTTGAATAAGAGGCGGACGCTTGTTCAATTCTAGCCTGATACCTGAGCCGAGTATTTTTTTTCTACTTAATATTTCCTTTAATTAAATGTTTGCTTTATTCTAATTAGCATTGCAAATGTGCCGTTTACACGATTAAATATGCACTAAAAGTATATGTTAGTTATAATTTTATTTTTGAAACATTTACCTGCTAGATTTTTAAATCTAAAGAAAATTTTACTACAAGAACTTCCACGCGGACCAGGCAGCAGACACGGCCCGAACCCACATTCGATATACGGACAGATGCACTGACCATTACCTACCGCGGCCCTGAGGGCTATGTCAAATTTTATCTAGCATATCTTAGGCTGCAAAATCCATAATGTTAAGTGGAAAAGTTTTCCAATAATTTTAATAATGTAGTTTTCCTGAAATTTTAAAGTGAAAAATACCTGAGAGTGCTGCCATATAGCAACAGCACCGGGCCGTCTCTATCAATGGGTTTGGTCTCCATGCTCAGGTGGAGGTCCAATCCTTGAGACCGGAATGCTCTATACGAGTCGTGTTCCTGTTTAAAGAAATTAAATTACTAATTTAAGATTATAAATTGACTGCTAAGAGATTTTACCTTGAGTATAGTACGATTGAAAGTTAATGGCGGTTCTGAAGTTTCATATGGGTACCACTGACTAAAACCTCCGCATGGTTGCGCTCGTTGCTAACTTCACAACCGACATAAAGTTTAAATTGCACTTATCTGTTTAGTTACGAATTTATCTCAGAGTTGAAAATATGTAGACGAATATAGTTACCGAGAAAGATGAGATTAACTGTAAAAATTGATATGGGTAAGTAAGAAATGTAGTTTTTGTTATCAGGAAGTTTGCTAGAATAAAACACAGGTATTTCGGAAAACCAAAGTTAAATTGAGAACAGAGAGAGATGATTTGAATCGGTCCCGTACTGCCGGCCCGGCCTCACCGGGGACTTGTGTACTGGGATCAGGACAGGCCTACACTCGCCTGGTGCTGGAGTACTCCGACAGCCTGGTGGTTGAGCGGGCCCCTCCCTGCTGGCCCAGCCTCACCGGGGCATTTTGTACTGGGGCCAGGACGGGCCCACACTCGCCTGGTTGCTGGAGTACTCCGGCAGCCTGATGGTTGAGCGGGCCCCTCCCTGCCGGCCCAGCCTCACCGAGGAATTATGTACTGGGGCCAGGACAGGGCCACACTCGCCGGTTGCTGGAGTACTCGGGCAGCCAGGTGGGTGCGCGGGTCCCTGTCGGCCCGGCCTCACCGGGGACCTGTGTACTGGGGCCAGGACAGGGCCACACTCGCCTGGTTGCTGGAGTACTCGGGCAGCCTGGTGGGTGCGCGGGTCCCTGTCGGCCCGACCTCACCGGGGACCTGTGTACTGGGGCCAGGACAGGGCAACACTCGCCTGGTTGCTGGAGTACTCGGGCAGCCTGGTGGGTGCGCGGGTCCCTGTCGGCCCGACCTCACCGGGGACCTGTGTACTGGGGCCAGGACAGGGCCACACTCGCCTGGTTGCTGGAGTACTCGGGCAGCCTGGTGGGTGCGCGGGTCCCTGTCGGCCCGACCTCACCGGGGACCTGTGTACTGGGGCCAGGACAGGGCCACACTCGCCTGGTTGCTGGAGTACTCGGGCAGCCTGGTGGGTGCGCGGGTCCCTGTCGGCCCGACCTCACCGGGGACCTGTGTACTGGGGCCAGGACAGGGCCACACTCGCCTGGTTGCTGGAGTACTCCGGCAGCCTGATGGTTGAGCGGGCCCCTCCCTGCCGGCCCAGCCTCCCCGGGGAATTATGTACTGGGGCCAGGACAGGGCCACACTCGCCGGTTGCTGGAGTACTCGGGCAGCCTGGTGGGTGCGCGGGTCCCTGTCGGCCCGACCCCACCGGGGACCTGTGTACTGGGGCCAGGACAGGGCCACACTCGCCTGGTTGCTGGAGTACTCGGGCAGCCTGGTGGGTGCGCGGGTCCCTGTCGGCCCGACCCCACCGGGGACCTGTGTACTGGGGCCAGGACAGGGCCACACTCGCCTGGTTGCTGGAGTACTCGGGCAGCCTGGTGGGTGCGCGGGTCCCTGTCGGCCCGACCCCACCGGGGACCTGTGTACTGGGGCCAGGACAGGGCCACACTCGCCTGGTTGCTGGAGTACTCGGGCAGCCTGGTGGGTGCGCGGGTCCCTGTCGGCCCGACCCCACCGGGGACCTGTGTACTGGGGCCAGGACAGGGCCACACTCGCCTGGTTGCTGGAGTACTCGGGCAGCCTGGTGGGTGCGCGGGTCCCTGTCGGCCCGACCCCACCGGGGACCTGTGTACTGGGGCCAGGACAGGGCCACACTCGCCGGTTGCTGGAGTACTCGGGCAGCCAGGTGGGTGCGCGGGTCCCTGTCGGCCCGGCCTCACCGGGGACCTGTGTACTGGGGCCAGGACAGGGCCACACTCGCCTGGTTGCTGGAGTACTCCGGCAGCCGGTTGGTTGAGCGGGCCCCTCCCTGCCGGCCCAGTCTCACCGGGGAATTATGTTCTGGGGCCAGGACCGGCCCTCACTCACCTGGTTGCTGGAGTACTCGGGCAGCCTGGTGGGTGCGCAGGGTGCCACAGCGTGATGGTCGCGCGGGTCCCCAACGCACTGCCAGCCCAGCTTCACGGACAGACGTAAGGAAGGCATGCGCAGTACTCGGCAGTCGTCGTACTTGCTAGCCGTGCGGACGAATACGTTCAGCTCGCCCAAAAAGCCAAGTTTGCCTGCGCAAAGATTAACAGTAGATAGACCTTAAAATAAATAATTTAGATTTGCTTTCTTAGAGGAGATTACTGTTAATGATCGTTTGTTTACAATTATTAAATAAACAATTTCTATTTGACTACTTTTTGTTTAATAATTAACTTATGTCAAGAATGCACAGAGAACATGTATAGAAAGAAATAATACAAAAATATAAAAAAAAATACAAATAAAAAATACATACAAATCTTTACTATTAAATTTTCGACGATGAAATTAGTTTAGCGATGGGTGAGGTTTGAGCGCGTTAAATAGGGGCTGTGGACTTCACTTCGTGGCGTAAAGTTCTTATCGCTTGGAACAATAAGCCAAGCTCGCTCATAACCATAAGGTCATGGCCGAGCTTAAACGCTTAGACTTTCCAAAACATACATAAGCTAAAATAGATATTTTCTCGCCTTTTTACACTTCCGGTAGATACTTATTTCAAACAAAGGAATCACAATTTCCCAGCAAACAAAAATAAAATTTAAAAAATAAAAACTTACCATTACTCCAGTCTAGCACGGAGTCTGTCCAGGTCAAATCCATCTCCTCGCTGGTATTATAAGGGTCCAGAGACACATGCAATAGGCACGTCGTGAGACGGCCCAGGTACTTGGTTGAACGCTGGCAGTATCATTGATACTGTTAGTCCAGTCCAGCACCCGGTCTGTCCACCTCCATCTCCTCGGTGGTCTTGCAGGGATCTATTCCTGCCAGTTCTTTCTAGGATACATGGATTCTAGCCAAACATTCGGGAACCGAAATATTAATTTTGAACCCAGGCGATGTTAAACTTACCATTAGTCCAGTCCAGCACGAGATCAGTCCAGGTCAACTCCATCTCCTCAGTAGTGTTGTAAGGGTCCAGAGACACGTGCAAGAGACACGTCATGCGCGCGCAGTGCACGGTGAGGCGCCCGTGCATCAGTAGACGGACCTTGTCCCACCACGCCAGAGGCATGGAGGGGTCGAGAGACGGACGGGAGATTTGTTCGAACGCTGGCGAAATACATCGTCAAAATATACCATCAACCTTTTAAGGTATCAATTAATACAGAATCATAAAGAACAATAAATTATAACCAAACGCAAAACAAATGGGGAAACCCATAACAGATGGCGCTGCATTTAAATTCAATATCGTTTATCCAGTTTAGGCTGTTACAAGCTCTTGTGAATATCAATCACTACGCCATCGATTCGCAAGCTACATTCATGATATGACCCAAAATAATTAAAGAGTCACTTCGAGCTGTCGATTATGTTCAGTTTTTAAAGAGTTTTAGATATTGAAGTTTTTTCTGTAAAACACTTAAAACACGGATTGAAAACCCAAAGAAGTTGCCAAAAATTAACGGGTAATTTAGACCAAAAATTTAATTTATCAAATAATCTTACGTTACATGCTATAGAATATTCCAAATACATTGAAAACAAAATAAATTCTGCCCAAGTTGAACAATGAAATCTTGATCATTGTGTAATTAGACATAACCTATTAAATATTTTTAGCTTCAGACTCGAGTCAATCAACTACAAGTTTTTCCCAAGAATACATAACTGATGACAATGATATTGTTTTATCGTCATTAGCAGCCTATCATAGCCAAAATCGTCACATAGGTATCAGCATCAAACTGAAAACTATTTCCATCATTATTTAACGAATTATCTGTTTCATATTCCATATCCACTTACCAAGGTTACACTGCGCTATGACTGGCTCCCAACATGGTCCAAAGGCATAGCTGAACTGCGTCATCTCGCAGCACAGATCGTAGTACCACTTCAGAGGCATCATACTTCGTTCTAACTCGCACGGACCCCATGGTTCTCCCTGGTCAATCACCACTGTACGCAACGCTGAACAAACACAGTAAATTACATTATTATAGCTATTAACGGGATTGTTACCATGTACCTTGTTTTTTATGAGTCTCCGATATTTCGGCACTGTTGCAAGCGCCATGATCACGGAGTAACTGAAGTAATTGCGGGTAGATGTTATTGGCAGACATATCGGTCTACCCTCTGACGTCGTCTTTTACTGCGCTCGATACCCAGTTAATAGCTATAATGTTAGTGACCATGAAAGTTTAAAACAATTACATTATTGTTTATGAATGAATTGCATAATCTCGCAGCACAGTTCGTAGTACCACTTTAGAGGCATCATCATCATCATCATCAGCCTATTAATCTCCCCACTGCTGGGACACAGGCCTTCCCTATGGATGGAATTGGGAGATTGGACCATGACCCACCACGCGGGCCCAGAGCGGATTAGTGAGAGCTAACGACTGCAGATGCAGCCGGGATCAACAGCTTAACGTGCCTTCCGAAGCGCGGAGGAGCTCAAGACAGTAAATTTTTGGTCACCCATCCAATGACTGACCACTGCGAAAGTTGCTTAACTTCAACGATCGCAGCCGAACGTGCTAACCACTTGCGCTATCGAGCTCCTCAGAGGCATCATACTGCGTTATAACTCGTACGGACCCAATGAAGCTCTCTGGTCTATCACCACCGTACGCAGCATTGTACAAATATATTATTTTAACGAAACAAATTTCCTCAGCAAAAGTATACTATAGCCATAGCAATACCGATAGGCGGTAGGCCCCCTGTTGTCAAGTACTGTCGACCTCCGTGGCCGAGTGGTTTGTATGCCGGGTTTCAAGGTATCGCCTACTCGAGAGGACCCCGGGATCGAATCCCGGTGGTTGCAGATGTTTGTGTGAGTACGAATTTTGTACTCCAGTCATAGATATATTGTTTTAAACTTTCATGGTCACTAACATTATAGATATTAACGGGATTGTTACCATGTTCTCTCTCCCAGTTACTCCGTGATCATGGCGCTTGCAACAGTGCCGAAATATCGGAGACTCATAAAAAACAATGTACATGGTAACAATCCCATTAATATCTATAATCCAGTCATAGATGTTATATTGTATTTCTATATAAATATACTCATATATGTATCAGTATATATATATATACCATCCGTTACCCTAGCATCCCATAACACAAGCCTGCAGTGCTAACTTTGGGGCTAGGCTAATTGGTTGGAAGTGTTGGAAGTATTTATTCATATCTAATATATAAAACTATCGTGTCACGATGTGCGTAATTGAACTACTCTGAAACGGCTCGGCCGATTTTCGTGAAATTTTATATGCATATTCAAAAGGTCTGAGAATCGGTCAACATCTATTTTTCATCCCCCTAAATGTTAAGGGTGGTCCACCCTTAATTCTTTATTTTTTATGATACATCGTACAAAAATACATACAACCCTAAATTTTCATCCTTCTAACACCAACCCCTATTTTTTATGGCGGTACGAAGTTCGCTGGAACAGCTAGTATTAACTATAAAATTTGATCCTGGTCTAATAAATATACTATTACGTTTGCTTACTGAAAAAAAGTTAAAGACAGCATTAGGTTTAAGCGGGTGTTTATTTGCGGGGTTAAAGATGACGATAGAATATCTCGCAGCGGCTGCGGAAATTCCACAGGTGTGTGAGAGTGAGACGGATATATAGCTGCCCCGCTCACCCCTAGGCGGCGGCGCCTCCTCGGCTCCCAGCAGAGTGCCCCACAGCTTGAGCCCGGTCATGCTGAGCAGGGGCTGGGGGAAGTCCCGAAGTAGGATCTGCCATTGCGAGCACCCCACGCTGACAGCACGGCACCATAGCGTTGTAAACTCGATGCCTTCTTCTGGCCACGGACTGTAGGCACAATCACCATCGTTATTATCAGTCTATTAACGTCCTCATTTATGGGACTACAGCATCATCAATCCCTACTGGTGGGATACAGGCCTTCCCGATGGATGGAATAGGGAGTTTGAGTGTGAGGTCCGTTCGGCGATGTACCTCTAAAGGCGCCGTCGTCTATAAATAGAGGTTATGCCTGCGTCACAAAAAAAAGGCTAGCAGGCGGGGCGGTACTCACCTGGCGGAGTCGATGCCCCGCTGCCGCACCCCTGCCCCCTGGTGCCCGTGGGTAGTGCTCACCTTTTTTTTACGCAGGCAAAACTTCTATTTACAGACGTTGGCGCCCTTAAAGGGCACACCAACGAACGGACCTCGCACCTAGCCTCTCGCAAATCTCATGGAAGCGAAACGGAGCAGCCGTAAGGCAGTCCGTAGCGGCTTACGAGCGCTTACGGCATACTATCCACTAAAAAACCCTGTGACTGTGACCTCTACGCCAGGGGTTCCCTAAGTGTGCGCCGCGGCGCCCGGGTGCGCCGTAGAAAGTACAGAGGGGCGCCGTGAGTCGATCCTCTAATTATTGGACACCACAAATATTGGCGGTTAAAGGAACCGTTTCGGGTATCTTGTGATTAATACTTTTGAAATTTTTAACAAAATTCAGACAGACCGCAAAAACAACTTTGTAATGCCATACATTTGCGATATTTTTATATGAAAAACCAAGTTACTATTGTCGCTGCTCAAAAATTCAGAGCGACCGCAAAAACAACTTTGTAATGCCATACATTTGCGATATATTCATATGGAAAACCACCAAACAAATATCGCTCAAAGATCAATGCTGAGCAAGAAATGACAATAGAGTGTCAAGTCTTATTCCCCGCTTTGAAAAACTGTGCGGAGATCACCAAGCTCACCCTTCACATTGATTTTGCTGAGTAAATATCGTATTTAATTTTTGTTTTTTCTTAAGTCTTTTTTGTTGTTTTCCGTTCAAATTCTTTTACAATAAAAAATTCAACTTTATATTGTGATGTTAATGTGGTGTTTTAATTTTCATTAAGATCAACCTAACTTAACTACTATTATTGTAGGTACTTATTTCTTTCGATTATTTTCCCCAATAGTTAACTAGGACAGGGCGCCGTGAAAAAATATTAAACTTGTAACTGCGCCGCGGGTTACAAAGGATTGGGACCCCTTGCTCTACGCTGTTAAGTACGGAACCGCGAGATCCCCGTTGTGAGACTACACCGCGTCTGTGAAATTTTGGAATTCAAAGGTAAGAAACGGGTGGTACTATCGCGGAATTTCGCGCTCTGTCACTTGGTTCGCCAAGTGACAGAGCGCAAAATGAAATGCTTTGAACGGTTTTCTACAGTAGTTACTACGCCCCGCCTTCGCGTCGGACGCGCCAATCCGGGCCGCCGCACAAAAGTAAGACAGAGAGCATTTCATTGAATGAAAAATGAATTGAATTGCATTTGTTCTAGTTGCAATTTGTCATCCGCATCGTGATCGCGACAGCGCCATACGAAAAAGTAAGACAGCGATAATTACATGTCTATGAATGAATTTTTACTACGCCGCTACCGCAAGCGATTATGGCATTACTAGCAAACCAGTGAACCAAATGTTCACCAAAACCTGATTTAAAAAATGTATTAATTGAGAACTTCCGAGATTTTGTGTGGTTTCGTTTGAAATTATTTAGTTAAAAAAAAATTTAACCTTTAAATAGTTAATTAAAATTGTGATAATTACAAAATAGAAATCATGTGATTTCTCGAAAACCGGAAGTGCTACGTTACTCAAATCCGGTTTGTAGTCTTATCAGACTATTCTTAACTTATAACTTAAATATTCTCTTTATCTATCTCTTACGGTTTGGCCGCTGAAACAGCACCACAGACAGACGGACTTGTCTAATAGATAAGAGATGGGTGACAGAGCGGATCTTTCCGCGAGTGTACTGACCTGGCGGAATCGATACCCCGGTGCCTTGCCCCCGCCCCCTCCCCCGCCCCCGCCCCCGCCCCCTGGTGCCCATGAATGGAGGGGTCAGCGAGGGCCAGCACCCGGACGCCGGCCAGGCAGCAGGCCACGAGCCGGGCCCGGGGCGGGGGGGCGGCGCGACACCGCTGCACGTAGATCTGCGCGTCCTTCTGTCGCAGCGCTGCGTACAACTCTTCCACCTTGCCCGCTGGTAAGAATAAGTGGGGCTTGCAGAGCTCTTGCACCTACGGGAGAAGGTTGACACGACAATAAAAATGCATATGCGTCTCGGGAACAACGACAAAAGTGATAACTTAAACTAATCTAAACTGCGCTTAGATCTTCGCGTCCTTCTGTCGCAGCGCTGCGTACAACTCCTCCACCTTGCCCGCTGGTAAGAATAAGTGGGGCTTGCAGAGCTCTTGCACCTAAGGGAGAAGGTTGACGCGTCAATAAAAATAGCGTATGCGTCTCGGGACCCACGACAGAAGTGATAACTTAAACTAATCTAAACGGCGCTTAGATCTTCGCGTCCTTCTGTCGCAGCGCTGCGTACAACTCCTCCACCTTGCCCGCTGGTAAGAATAAGTGGGGCTTGCAGAGCTCTTGCACCTAAGGGAGAAGGTTGACGCGTCAATAAAAATGCGTATGCGTCTCGGGAACAACGACAGAAGTGATAACTTAAAACTAATCTAAGCGGCGCTTAGATCTGCGCGTCCTTCTGTCGCAGCGCTGCGTACAACTCCTCCACCTTGCCCGCTGGTAAGAATAAGTGGGGCTTGCAGAGCTCTTGCACCTAAGGGAGAAGATTGACGCGTCAATAAAAATGCGTATGCGTCTCGGGAACAACGACAGAAGTGATAACTTAAACTAATCTTAGCGGCACTGCAGGTTAGAGTGAGAGAGGAGGATCTATATCAGAAAGTTGTTATACTAAATGAGCACAGGAGATTGGTATGTGAAAAGGGGATTGGAGGATGAAAAGGGATTCGAGGGTGTAAAGGGGATTCGAGCGTAAAAAGAGGATTCGAGGGTGAAATGAAATTCGAGGATAAAAGGGGGATTGGAGGGGGAAAGGGATTAGTGGGTGATACTGGGGATTGAAGGATGAGGGAGTGGGTTGGTCTGAAGCACCTCTGGTACCATGGCGGGCTGTGGCGTCTATCTCCACCGAAGCAAAGAGAAACCAGACAGACTAACACCGTAACGCGTTACGTAACATAGCAGTTTACCTTACCATAAAAAGTTATCACTTCAAAAAATTGGCAAATTCTCTTATAGATAGAATTACATTCAACCATTGCCATTCACGTAATACCGGGTTCGCACGAGGCAATTTTAGTTTAGTTTTAGTACTAACGGTACTAATCGTATCAGTACTAATTTGGCGAAAAGAAATGTAAAGAGGGTATTGAAATTTACAAAAAAAAACTGAACATACCTTTGCATCGAGCATCGTCCGCCTCTTCTGACTCTCTTTGTACTCGTCCTCTAGAAGCTCGTAATTGTCGCGCAATTTAACCTCAAACGGATCATCGCTCATTTCCACTATTATTTCTTCAATCTATGAAAACAAACAAAAAAAATAAAATTTCATTCTAACATTTTCAATATTGCTACCAATGCGTAATCAATCATATGGAACCTTTCTTTTATCTTACAAAAAACAGGCAGAAGTATAGAAAAAGTATAGTAACATATTGCAACTTTAACAGTCCGAAAAGTATCTGTTTCATTACCTTTATGTGCAAATCGCTGGGCAGCGGACTGTCAGCAGTGAATGGCTTCTTCTTAACACCGTGCACCATCTTGACCCACTTGAATAGGGACACGAAGTCGCCCTGAACCGCCTCAGCAAACCGGTGCTTGTACGGGAATATCATGCGCGCCGACTTTATACTCACAGACCTACGGTGCAAAATAGAAAATCACCAAACTGTTGTACAATGTGCCTGTTACAAGTCGCGATAGTTCGCGAAAAGCACACTTCTCTTGTTTTAAGAATACCGAAGTCAACAAGAAACCTTAATTACGTATAGTTTTTTGACATAGTGCCAACAATTTGATAATTTTTAAACTAGAAATATATTAATATTTCCAACATTCACACCAATTAGCCTAGCCCCAAAGTAAGCACTGTAAGGCTTGTATTATGGGATACTAGAGTAACAGATAGAATACATATAAACATCCATGACTGGAGTAAAAATGCTCGTATTCATCACACAAACATCTGCTCCCACCGGGATTCGAACCCGGGACCTCTGGAGTCGGTGACACCATGAAACCCGGCGTATAAACCACTCGGCCACGGAGGTCGTCCGTCGAAGACGTCTAAGTCTTATCTCATTAAAATGTCTACATAAAAACCCATGAACACTAAATTAGAATAACTCTTTTACTCTTCGTTTTGCCCGTATAATAAGATAAATTCCACCCCCGAAATAGACTATACCGTCTCCGGGTTTACATCATCGAACAGCTCTACAGTAAGATAATGTGGCAGCGACATCTATACGCCGCACATAGGACTAACGGCGCTACTTACGGCGCATTCAATAATGTGGAAAGCCTACATCGCGCTAGAGAAATTCGGACACATCATATATATATACAATGACCGACTAACATCGGTCAGACCGCGGCCCCTCGGACTAACATCACCCGGCTCGGTGTAAGTTCTTCCTCTTTGGCCTTCCTACGACTTTGTTCCAGGGGAGCATAACCCCTCGGCGGCGTTACTCTCGCTCGGCCCTGATGTCGTGGTCGTCTTCCACCCTCGGCATGGAGTATACCGTCCCTTGGTCTTCATCATCACAACATAGATGGACAGTAAGTTAACATTATTCTCACCAGACTTTGTTCCAGGGCAGCAGGAACCCCTCGGCGGCGTTCCTCTCGACCCTGACGTCGTGGTCGTCTTCCACCCTCGCCATGGAGTATCCCTCCACCGTCACCAGGTCTTCCCCGTTCAATATCATCCTCAGTTGGACCCAGTCAAGTGACAGCCCCGACTCGTGGTCGTAAGCTATCGTCATATCGTCTGCGCAACATAAATTAACACAAACTCAAACATCCACACCTATATTATAAATGCGAAAGTGTGTCCGTCTGTCTGTTACCTGTCCACGCTTAAACCGCAGTACCGATTTAGATAAAATTTCGTATAGACATACTTTCGAGTCTCGAGAAAAACATAGGATAATTCTATCTTTGAAATCATGCTTTAAAGGGGGTGAAAAGAGAGTTAGAAGTTTGTATGGGACACCAATTTTTACACGCAGACGAGTCGCGAGTAAATAATAAATAAAAGCGTGTAACTAATGGGAACCTATGCTTTTTAAAGTCCATTTTAATTAAATCGGACCACTTATCCATAATTATATTAACAGATGCAAAAATACCATATATCAGTATGGAGTGTTATCATACACTCGTGAATTTTCTCAATAATAATAATTCATGAAAGACACTTACCAGTAACAAACAACATGTTATTCTCCTTTGATAACAGCAGTTCCAAATTAGTTTCGGCCTTGAACGAAACATTCCAATCTAGTGCTCTCTCTTTCTTCTTCTGCTCAATAGAAGGAGATGGAGACGCTTGCCTTTTGGTTTTCAACTCGTCTTTGAACGCTTTTATACCCCGCAACAAGGTTACTATCTTTAGATGCAAGTTGGCACTCCATTCGATGTCAACGTTTTCGAGGAATTGAAAGTCTAATAAAGCAGAGTGCCTGGTCACCGAAGGCACGTGTTCGATCCTCGCTAGTTGAACGTAAACTATCGACGAATCAATCTCATCAGATCGTTGGCAGTGATAATTTCCTGCAATATAATGAATAAATGCAATCATAGCGGCACAGCGGTGCGGCGTTGAAAGCCGTGCATCGTCTAACGTTGTTTCAGTTCGGCAGACTTCGGCAAGGTGTTTGTGTGCGTGCGACTACACGTATGCGTGCGACTACACGTATGCGTGTAGACTATATAGCTACTTACTGCTCATAACTGATTCTATCTCTAATAGACACAATGCAAGGTAAGACAGCGTGCTTTTTGGCTGCGTCCACGAGTGAGTTCGAGCATATGTTACGACATTCATGTATCTGATACGACTGTACGATGCTCGCACGGATTGAGACGAGCTGCTCCGAAATCGGACGAATACGTAAGCAGCTGTTTGTGAAAAAGTATATAGGTGTATAGGTATCTATATACAACAGTGAATAGCTGTACGCGTAAAATTTGTGAAAAAAGTGTTTTAAATATGAATAAACAAAGTGCATTTCTTAATGAAGAAAATAATTTTAAACAATATTAACTTCTCATTTATTTAATAAAATAAAATGTTTTCTTATCGGTCACCACGCTCAAAAAGTATAACTTGAATTAATCAAAGAAAAAACTTGAATGAATATCAAAGAAAAAAAAAATACTGCGAAAACTGAAGACTTGTATAATTTATTGTTAAAGGAGATTGCTCAGCTTCCATACATGTTTGGCCTAAAAACCAATAACCATGAAAAATTGTTTCCTAGATTCGAAATTATATATAAATTACCGTAGAAACGAATATTATCGACGGCCACTCCTGAGAACTTCTATAAACCATATACACTGAATGATTTTGAGGTTATGTTTGCAAATAGGCACATAGGTATTAGAATAATAAAAACCAAATAACTTATATAGGAAAATAGGGCAATCAAGCCAAGTACCGATATTATGTATTAGATTCAGGTATATAGAGCATGTAAAATAACAGATAATTGCCTGTTTTTAAAATTAATGCACAAGAGTAAGTTTTAAAATCATGATTATGCCATTGCGACTTTCAGAAGCAATCTTGTTTCATTTGACAAGTGTCTAACACTAATTACACTAACAAAATGCAAGTCAAGGAACTGGTACCTGCTTACCTATGTTATGAGAAACATGGAACTGTTATCATAATTTTATAAAATCCAATAGGATATTTTCTTAGTAATAATTAGGTTTATAATAGTAAAAGGTAATTCTAATGTAATAATATATTGCGTAGGTTCATGATAATTCTGATCAATGTGTGAAATATGTATATTCCTGACATAGCTTAAATATTCTGATAAGGTAAATTAATGAAATAAAACAACTTAAGTACTTTTATGTTGCGTTTAATATTACATATCATCTACATTTTGAATTAAAATATCATCGAGAAACTGTGCAGGGGGATTTATATTTTCTTGGTATCTGGCCCAGCTCAAATACCAAATTATTGTCATCACATGAGCGCAGCAACCTACAGTTCTGCGCCCAACAACACAATTACAACAATAACGGCATAGACGGCAATACGGCAATAGACTTTATGATGTCGCCTACCATCTATATTAATTGTCTTAGCACATTTGCATGTAGTAAAAATGATAATAAAGTTGTGGATATTAATACCACCCGTGTAATAAAAAAAAATATTTTATCAATCTTTACAAAATAGATTTGTTTTGATGTTATATAAACAACCTCGATCAGTCTTTGTGAATGTTACTACACCCATAGCCAATAAAAATGATTCGTATGTTTTCCAAACCGGTAAAAATAGAAGTCCTTTTTTAAAATTAATATATTATTTAAAGGTGGCCGTTAAAATCTAATGACTGTAAAATAAAGTATAAATTACGCCAAGAATTACTGTGTATGTCAATATTTTATTTGCATTTAGGCCAATTTGACCAATCTCCTTTATGTATTACACCTTGGTGAGGTGGGGTGGAAGCGGCCAACACGAAGCAAACGCGATGTATATGTGTAGAATAAAAGTTATGAAGCAAAGAAAGCTATGTCTATACTAAAGTAAAGGGGAGGTTGTCTGACCGTATTAGTGTCTCTATAACTGACCTTTATACGGCACCATATCGACGACTTTAAAGCCGGACACGACAGCAGCCGATTTAGCCGGTGTTCTCTCCAAAGTGACTGCATCCACTCGCGTCATCAGACACACTCCCTTTTCCATTATGAAGAACAGGTTTATGTGCGACAGAGCCACGTTCACGCCCACGTGGCAGGGTACTGCTTCAGGATTGATTGGTGAAGCCACTGGCTCGGATGTGGAGGGTGATTTGTACTGGTTGATGCAGTCAACTAAAGATATGATGGTAGCAGCGATGTCGGCGCTCCATTCCAGGCGCAGACAGTCCATCATTGCTTCCATCTGCGTTTATAAAGCTTTCGATATTATTTGTAATTATTCATCATCATCATCAGCCTATTAATATCCCCACTGTTGAGGCACAGGCCTTCCCTATGGATAGAATAGAGAGATTGGGCCATGACCCACGACACGTGCCCAGTGCGGATTGGCGGGTGCTAACAACTGCAGAAACGGCTTAACGTGCCTTCCGAAACACGAAGGAACTCGAAATAGAAGATTTTTGGTCACCCATCCAATGATCGACCACTGCGAAAGTTGCTAACTTCAACGATCGCAGCCGAACGCGCTAAACACCTGCGTCATCGAGTTCCTCGTAATAAATAAATGGAATATGTAGGTTCACGTGCTGAATGAGCGCCTGTTCTCACTATCCGCCTTTAGGATCTTTGGGTATGCAGACGACAGCACAGTTTCGGAGAGATATCTGCCGGATGTGAAGTCTGATGCAGATGTCCGATCATTAAGGGAGGCGATGGTGGAGGGAGTGAATGCAACCCTGGAAGCTGTTTCCCTCTGGGGTGAAGCCAACTTGGTTGGATTTAATCCCTCAAAAACACAGGCCTGTCTCTTCTCGACGAAACGGAGTCCATTCCATCTGACTCCGACTTTCCGAAATGTCTCCGTGCCGGTTAAAGACCATCTCGAGCTCTTGGGTATGGACATCTCATCCAGCCTCAATTTCGGTCGCTACATCGAGTCCATTGCTAAAACCGCTGCCAGAAAACTTGGAATACTTTCTAAGGTCAGGCGATATTTTACATCTGAGCAGCTCCTTAACCTTTACCGAGCCCAAGTTCGCTCCTGCTTGGAGTACTGTTGTCACCTTTGGGACGGATTTGCTCGGTATCAGCTGGATGCACTGGACTCGGTGGAACACCGTGCGAAGAGACTCATAGGCAATGACGCTCTCGTTGAGGCTAATCTCCAGAGCCTTGACCACCGAAGACGTGTAGCTTGCCTCTCGGTGTTTTATCGGTTACATTTCGGAGAGTGTGCCGAGGTATTACATAATTTGATCCCCCCTTCCCCTTTCCACCACCGGACGACCAGGCGCGGCGAGGGCTTCCACCCTTATGTTGTCGAAATTCCTCCCATTCGCACGAAGCGATTTGCTTCGGCCTTCATTATGCGAACGGCTAGGGAGTGGAACTCCTTGCCGAGGTCTGTTTTCCCGGACAAATATAATCTGGACATCTTCTAGGCAGGCGTGTACCATCCTAGGCCTCATCATCACTTTCCATCAGGTGAGATTGTGGTCAAACGCATTGCCTATTATGCATAAAAAAAAAAAGGAAGGCTCGTGCCTCAGAAGGGGTCATCAATTAAGTACGTCACACGGGGGGAGAGGGAGTAGACGAAGTGTGACATGGGGTGGGAGGATCCTAAATTTCGTGACGTCACACTTCAAAATCTAATACATTTTAACTATAATCAAAATACCTTAAACACATTTAGAACTTTTTTTTAAATTTAATAATTTCTAGATGCATAACAGCAAAATATGAGATGTGACATCACACTAGGGAGGGAGGGACTCACAAACATGATCTACTGTGATAAAGACAGGAGCGCCACGGTTAATAACGCAGAACCCCACGTGTGGTGCTTCCTGGTTTGGGCTTTAGGCCACTCCTGGGCAGACAGGGCCAGGTCGGCAGGGTGAAGGATCTGAGCAGCTGCCCATCCTTAATAGGCTGATGATGAAGATATACCTTGGAATCAGTGGGTCCATGGCTGCCCCACTTGACGAGCGCCACGGCTAATAACGCCGAGCCCCAAGTATGATGCTTCCTGGTCGGGGCTTCGGGCCACTCCTGTGCAGACAGTTTCAGGTCGGAAGGGGGGAGGATCTGAGCCGCTGCCCACCCCCCATCTACCAGTAGCTCGGCGCTCCAGTGCCGACGCCCCACCAGTTGCTGAGCCACACTCCACTGGTACGGCTCGTCTGCACCACGAAATGTTATTCAAAATGAAAATCTGATCTTCGTGACCCCAATATATTATTCTAAAAAGAATTAGGAACATTGTGGACATATTCAAACTTAAGAAATAATTACTGGGGGTGCGGATTTGAGTCCTGTGTACTATCTCTAGACAGAATAAAGAAAATTTGACTAGATTTTTTTCTTTAGATTTAAACAGCTAGCAGTTAAATTGCTGGCTAGGGGCGCGGGGTCCAGCCGCAGCTTGAGGCCGGCGCAGCCTGCAGCCATCGCGCGGCCCGCGTCCAGCCGCGCCCGCGCCCGCGCCCGCGCCCGCACACACTACACTCACGGCTGGCTAGAGGCGCGGGGTCCAGCCGCAGCTTGAGGCCGGCGCTGCCTGCAGCCAGCGCGCGGCCCGCGTCCAGCCGCGCCCGCGCCCGCGCCCGCGCCCGCGCCCGCACACACTACACTCACGGCTGGCTAGAGGCGCGGGGTCCAGCCGCAGCTTGAGGCCGGCGCTGCCTGCAGCCAGCGCGCGGCCCGCGTCCAGCCGCGCCCGCGCCCGCACACACTACACTCACGGCTGGCTAGAGGCGCGGGGTCCAGCCGCAGCTTGAGGCCGGCGCTGCCTGCAGCCAGCGCGCGGCCCGCGTCCAGCCGCGCCCGCGCCCGCGCCCGCGCCCGCGCCCGCACACACTACACTCACGGCTGGCTAGAGGCGCGGGGTCCAGCCGCAGCTTGAGGCCGGCGCAGCCTGCAGCTAGCGCGCGGCCCGCGTCCAGCCGCGCCCGCGCCCGCACACACTACACTCACGGCTGGCTAGAGGCGCGGGGTCCAGCCGCAGCTTGAGGCCGGCGCAGCCTGCAGCTAGCGCGCGGCCCGCGTCCAGCCGCGCCCGCGCCCGCGCCCGCACACACTACACTCACGGCTGGCTAGAGGCGCGGGGTCCAGCCGCAGCTTGAGGCCGGCGCTGCCTGCAGCCAGCGCGCGGCCCGCGTCCAGCCGCGCCCGCGCCCGCACACACTACACTCACGGCTGGCTAGAGGCGCGGGGTCCAGCCGCAGCTTGAGGCCGGCGCTGCCTGCAGCCAGCGCGCGGCCCGCGTCCAGCCGCGCCCGCGCCCGCGCCCGCGCCCGCGCCCGCACACACTACACTCACGGCTGGCTAGAGGCGCGGGGTCCAGCCGCAGCTTGAGGCCGGCGCAGCCTGCAGCTAGCGCGCGGCCCGCGTCCAGCCGCGCCCGCGCCCGCACACACTACACTCACGGCTGGCTAGAGGCGCGGGGTCCAGCCGCAGCTTGAGGCCGGCGCAGCCTGCAGCTAGCGCGCGGCCCGCGTCCAGCCGCGCCCGCGCCCGCGCCCGCACACACTACACTCACGGCTGGCTAGAGGCGCGGGGTCCAGCCGCAGCTTGAGGCCGGCGCAGCCTGCAGCCAGCGCGCGGCCCGCGTCCAGCCGCGCCCGCGCCCGCGCCCGCGCCCGCACACACTACACTCACGGCTGGCTAGAGGCGCGGGGTCCAGCCGCAGCTTGAGGCCGGCGCAGCCTGCAGCCAGCGCGCGGCCCGCGTCCAGCCGCGCCCGCGCCCGCGCCCGCACACACTACACTCACGGCTGGCTAGAGGCGCGGGGTCCAGCCGCAGCTTGAGGCCGGCGCAGCCTGCAGCCAGCGCGCGGCCCGCGTCCAGCCGCGCCCGCGCCCGCGCCCGCGCCCGCACACACTACACTCACGGCTGGCTAGAGGCGCGGGGTCCAGCCGCAGCTTGAGGCCGGCGCAGCCTGCAGCCAGCGCGCGGCCCGCGTCCAGCCGCGCCCGCGCCCGCGCCCGCGCCCGCACACACTACACTCACGGCTGGCTAGAGGCGCGGGGTCCAGCCGCAGCTTGAGGCCGGCGCAGCCTGCAGCCAGCGCGCGGCCCGCGTCCAGCCGCGCCCGCGCCCGCGCCCGCGCCCGCACACACTACACTCACGGCTGGCTAGAGGCGCGGGGTCCAGCCGCAGCTTGAGGCCGGCGCAGCCTGCAGCCAGCGCGCGGCCCGCGTCCAGCCGCGCCCGCGCCCGCGCCCGCGCCCGCACACACTACACTCACGGCTGGCTAGAGGCGCGGGGTCCAGCCGCAGCTTGAGGCCGGCGCAGCCTGCAGCCAGCGCGCGGCCCGCGTCCAGCCGCGCCCGCGCCCGCGCCCGCGCCCGCACACACTACACTCACGGCTGGCTAGAGGCGCGGGGTCCAGCCGCAGCTTGAGGCCGGCGCAGCCTGCAGCCAGCGCGCGGCCCGCGTCCAGCCGCGCCCGCGCCCGCGCCCGCGCCCGCACACACTACACTCACGGCTGGCTAGAGGCGCGGGGTCCAGCCGCAGCTTGAGGCCGGCGCAGCCTGCAGCCAGCGCGCGGCCCGCGTCCAGCCGCGCCCGCGCCCGCACCGCGCGCACCTCCACGCAGCCCTGCACCGCGCACATGGCCAGCAAGCGCGACGCTAGCGAACGGTCCGAAAGTCCAGCTGCAGACAACACATTATACATACATCTCATTGTTTTAACACAGCTATAAAAGGATATAAGCTTAATCCAAACACGAAAATATGAATTTCCCTATTTAGAAAACCAGCTCTGTCCGTACCAATTCAACGTTAATTATTGAATTTTGAAAAGGATCGATGAAATACAAGAGCAGTAGATAAGTACGGAAACTTAAAAAGAGAGCAGGAATTTAGAAAAATAATTTTAAAGTTTACCATTTAAGGATTTATCTTATCTATATCTTAAATTACTAAAGGAAAGCTTAAATCTTAACAACTTTACAAAGCTACCCTTACATTTGTCAACCTCCCTGATGTACATGGGCGCCGGAACGTCCCGCTCTGCCATGGACGTGAACCACCCGAACACCTGCCTGTGGTCATACAGCACGTTCAGGGTGCTCACGATCAAGTACAGGTTCAACGCGCCCTTCTCCAGCTGCGAAATGCAATATTTATAAGTTTTAAAGGCAAAGGATGGATGAACATGAATCCATCGCGTAATAGTGAGAAAATGTTTACAGTGAACGGAGACAGATAACTTCTTGTAAGCTGTCCGTGTTGGTTACTTGCTGCGTTTCTATATAAATTCGTGGCCACTAACTGCGGACCCTAAGTAACTGTTACACAGACTTTGGAAAGTTGTTCGTCAGAGTTAGCACTTACTCTACTATTTCTCTGCTGATCATGCAAATGGTTGTATCACGTGAAAATAATATAATTTTGGGGCGGATTCTAGGATGGATGTCTAAACCTAAAACTAAATTTGACAAAAGTTAATTCTTTTCATGCTCTATCTATATATATATAACTCAAAGGTGACTGACTAATATAGTGATCTATCAACGCACAGCCCAAACCACTGGACGGATCGGGCTGAAATTTGGCATGCAGGTAGATGTTATGACGTAGACATCCGCTAAGAAAGGATTTTGATCAATTCTACCCCCAAGGAGATAAAATAAGGAATGAAAATTTAAAATCAATCAAAAGTCGATTTTAAACCGATCTGGCTGAGACTTTGCATGCAGGTATAACAAGAATCATAGATGAATGTCATTGTGTATAATACAACCCTGAGAACAAAAACTGTATGTAGTCTACACTTCAACTCTGCACCGAAGCGAAGCGAGGGCGAGCCGCTAGTAGTGAATAAAAAGGAGAGACTGTTGTCAAATTTAATTTTAAGTGTAGTTATTTAAGCCAGGCCCAATGTTGATCAAAATTTTAACTATCGCGTTCTATCGTCAGTACCACGGCGAGTGTTCTGAGGAGTTATTCTCTCTTATTCCTCCTTCCCCTTTCCTTCAGAGGACCACGTGCGCTTGCCTTCGTTGTCACCGTCTAACTGTGGCCACAATTCCAACGCGTACAAAGAAATTTGGTGACTCATTTCTTTGTCGCACCATCCGTAAATGGAATGCTCTGCCCGCTCACGTGCTCCCTCCTTCTTACAACCTGGGATCCTTTAAGAGGCTTGAACAAGCAACATGCAGGCCGGCAAGGTAAGGATGGCGGTGTGGCAGGTAGAACTGCCGTACCAGCTTTCTTCACATCTGGTGAAGGCGAAGGTGGGGTGGAGTCATTTGTCGGACCTATCTAAAAAAAACAGAACTTGGTCGGTCCGGACCGCCACCTACATCGCGCTGAGTTCAGCTAACTAACGTCACTGGTTATGTAAAGACCTTAGCGTCCAGCTTGAGTTTGTTGATGGAGAGGAGGTCGTCATCGTCGGCGGCGCAGCAGAGCTGGTCGGTTTGGAACGCCACATACACTTGCGGCAGGCCGGCGCCCTCGGCCAGCGACATGGCGCTAAACCGCGAATTCACCTAGTGGAGATGTAACTAGTCTTATTATTACCGAAGCTTATTCAAAGTTAGGGGTCATTTGCTTGAAACTAAATTCTCCAATCATAAGACACGTTTTAGACATGAATACTTAATATGTATGCACTACATATAATGAATTGTACGGTTTACACAGCACATTTACAAAGAAACCTACTTTTCTAATGCAAATTAATTGTATTTATTGAAATGAAAACTTCTTTAGCACAATTGTGATTTGAAACACAATGAAACGAAAATTTAACAGTATTTGACACAAGGTATCCATAATTTTGTAACTCTCTGCTAAAGCCAGATAGCCAAACGGTAACAGTCTTGGAGTCAACACCAAATGATTGGTGGTTCGATCCTAAGCTTAGTTATTTTTTTTTTATTATTATTATTTTTATAGTATACCTAAATAGTTTAGTATTAAACGTTTTGTAGGTGCCTAAGTAATTTATTAATACAGGCTTGGTTTTTATAAACAATCCTTACCTTTCCAATGTTTGCAATTTTTTTTACAGTAATTTTTTATAAATAAATGTATCGAATAAAACCTAACATAAGAAAAACATAGCAAAAGAAATAAAATAAAAATAGCTGGTAACAAATAAAGCCGCATGCTGCTAAAAGACTTTCATGTGTTCACCTTTTTGTAGGTTTCACTTCTAACGCATGTGAAATGTCCGTTGTTTATGTCATGTTTTAAGTATGTTAATAACTGTTTTAATGGAACTAACTTGGCAATAAAAAAGTGTTAATCAATGAACACATTTCTTTCAAGATACTCAAACACTACTACACAACTTAGAACTTAACTTTAACTTCATCTTACAATTTTGTAGTGTACTGTGTCAGTGTGGTAAACTAAACACTGCATCATACATGTATGAAAAATATCATACATAAATAAACATGATTTGGATTTATAATAATGATGAAATTAAATTTATTTAACACAGTGCAAAAAAAAATAAGTGCCTTACTGGACCCATGAACCAAATTTTGTATTCGGAAAACCATAGAATTTTTGACTTACATGTAAACTCTGTAGGGACATTTTAAAATTAGTTTTCGTAATCTTGTCTATGCATTTAACTGTTGTTGCATCAATTTTTAAGCTAAATATCTGAAAAGAAAAAACAAAATCTCATTTAAATTATTTAAGCATGTTTTGTATATGTAAACACTTTCATCAAATAACTTAACTTCCAATAAACTTGCCTTTGGTATAACAGGTGACAGTCTTGGAATAAGACTAGCAGTGTGATCTTCACAAATCACTTCTTTTTTGACAGATGCAGGTCTATATCTCTTTTGCTTTTGTGCAAACTGATAAAGTTCATCTTGGATGGAAACCTCTGTGTTATTTATTGCAGTGTGAATTTTCTAAAACAAACAGATTGCTATATTATTTATTTTAAAGAATGGAGATTTGACGACCTCCGTGGCCGAGTGGTTTGTACGCCGGGTTTCATGGTGTCGCCGACTCGAGAGGTCCCGGGTTCGAATCCCGGTGGGGGCAGATGTTTGTGTGATGAACACGAGCATTTGTACTCCAGTCATGGATGTTTAATATGTATTTCTATATAAATATACTTATATATGTACTGTATATGTATTCTATCTGTTACCCTAGCATCCCATAACACAAGCCTTACAGTGCTTACTTTGGGGCTAGGCTAATTGGTGTGAGGGTTGGAAATATTTATTTAGATTTTTATTTGGTAATTGTGTAGTTAATAATTCAAATCACAACACATAGTGGCTTTTAATATTTTAAAGTTTTACTAAAAATTTAAGGACATTTCGATAAAATTTGTCCTGCAGTTTTTGCTTGTTCAGTGAAATAAAGGTTAGACAAACATTGAAGTCGTAATTTAGTGTTTTGTTTTACCTCTACATTCAATGGTCCATCAGCTTTGACAGTGCCTTCAATCAATATACTACAGCTTGCCTCTCCAAGACACTTGGTTTCTTTGAATACCCTTGCACTAAGCTGCACTAAATTGGCAGAAAACACTAGTGCCCTAGCCGGCCCACCTGCTGCACCATCAGCATGTACTTCTGATGCAGTCACATTGATTGAACCATTACTGAGAGCACTATCTCTCAATGTCACCGAGACATTAAAGACATGCACTCCCATGAACTGAAAGTAAAATTGTTATAAATAACATATTAGTAGATTTTTATGAAAACAGTTTTTTTTACCATTTATTTCTACTTATTACTTATCCAAATGTACCTGTGCAAACATAATCAAGCTGGGGGGCAACTTTTTATCCCTGAAGTCAAGGAGTTTTTGCTGTGTGTATCGTCCAATTCCTAAGTTCAGAGATCTGAGATTTGCCAATTCATCTTCTGTACCCTCCCTGTTGAGGGAGTTTTGTTTCGATAACAAAGGTTTGAGGATAGTTTCAACCACCACACTACGCTTAGCTTCAACATTGTTAGTTATCTCAACACCTTTTATCACAACCCAAACCAGCTTATTTATTTCAGAATTAAAGAAGCTGCTGCGGAATGAGATTTCGTCTATATGCTAAAAATAAAAGAGCAAAAAGAATTAACCAAATCAAACTTTACCTTATTCTCTTATGAACTGTATTCTTTGAAACACTAAAAACTTACCACAAAATATCTATCCTTTGATAAACTGACATCTTTTAGTATCAATTTTAAAACGGCGATTCTACCGATTTTCAAGTTTATATGATATTTTCTCTTGAATAGCCATGACAGCAAAGCCGGCAAAAGCCTAAAATTACAGAATTCAAAACAATAGCGTTTACAAAACAAAAACAATAATAATAAATAGCGACGTCACCTTGTTGCCTTTAAACTAACCATGAAACACATGAATATACTCCTAAAAAAATTAGACACAGTATCAGTAATGCATTCATATTGGATTTACTTTGTCATTTCGATATTGATGATAAACAATTACGAAATAATACAAAAACAAAATAGTCGGATTTAAATGTTAGCCTAGTACCGACATCAACAATCCACGAGAAGGTGCGCGGAGACTTTTCTTTCTGTCAATGTCAGATACTTTTTTTTTTAAAGTTTTACGGCCGTGAATTTTTCCATTTCGGCCGAAGATACATTAAGGATTACACGAGGATTACGAAGATATCGTATTGTCGAATACCAATTTTTTTACTCGAGATGTTTTTAGTTGGATTGAATTTATCAAACGGAAAGCATCACCTCTTTCTATAATATTTTTTATAAACAGGGGCGGACTTAGTAGCAGTGCCCCGGGCTACAGATGTTTGGGAGGCACTTTTTACCCGAATACGTTTTGCAGGATCTCCATACAATGCTCAACGACTTCAATAGAGTACTTAGAGCTTAAACCAAAAAGTTAAATTTAGTTAAGAGAATTATGCATGCCAGAAACGACACTTAAGTATTGTTTATAATTTTTATGTGGCTATTTACCGGCATCGATATAAAGTACTTTTTATACATATTATCGTATTTCAAAGAAAGATTTTGGTGACGATTATGGTAGTGTTCTCTAAACTTAAATTTGACAAGTGTAACCTTTTCATCCTCTATACAGAATGAAAATGAGATACTAATAATAAATTTAGTCTTAAGCTTAGAAAATCATGCAAGAATCGACATCATTGTTTTGTTAAGTTATAGATCGTGAATGACTGAATATTTGTTTTTTTTATAAGATCTGTGGATGTATATTTGTTTTATCAACATGCAATTTGTATCGGCAGATACACTTAATCATATCTGGTTGAATGTTTTCCAGAATAAAAAATACCATTCATCCATTTCATTCATTTTTCGTCGCATCACAATGAATTTCTATCTATTATTTTTGTCATTCATTCGTGATTTCACGCCTTTTCTTTTAATTGAATTTTATAAAGGAATACTAATTTTTTAGAACTTAAAAATACTTGTATATGGTAGGAAACACCATGTTTCAGCAAGATTGAAGTGGCAGATCGGTTATTGCTTGGAAAAACAACATCATTTTCCATTTTTGTGGGAGCTCTGACTCACGCTGCAGAACGATCCAAAATGGCAGTGTTCGCGCGTGAACTTATATAACAATCATGGCCGATGGCCATGTAACTTTGGCGGAGGGGTTCGCCCGTCCATGCCATCTGCAGTGGTATATGTTCTAAGGCAAAGTATCAACAGATGGGCCTTATTATGAACATCAGTAAGACGGAGTCATGGCTAACGCTCATGTTCCTCTCCGTACGGTAATTGATAACTCTATACTTGAAAATGTGGTATTACAAATTGTTTATAAGTAAATGTATCCACTATGAGTGGGCAGGAGAGGACGAATGCGCGCCCTGGCTGCGCCCGTTCCATGTCCCTGCCCGCGGGGATCCCTAGCTGGCCGGTAAGGCGCATTGTGCCGTACCGGCTACCAAGAGATCCCGTGACGGCAGCCCCACTCTTGTAGTTCTGTCCTGCAAAGAGGGGGGCGGCGGAGTGAGCTACACGGGCATGCCCCAGTAGCCCTCCGCAGCGGACGGGGGGCGGTACGGTGGGCACTAAGCCGCGTACTCAGCTTCCACGCGCGGGCCATCCTACACACGTCCGGGAAGCTGCTGGGTGCGAAGACGCGGAAGAATCCCTAAACGGGAATCCCGCGGCTTCGCACTAAGCAGCTTGGAGGGTATTCGCAAGATTTTTAGCGGATAGTACGCCGCCCGTTAAGCGTGCTCGAAAATGGCGCGGGTTACTTTGAGGGTTAGCCCCATCGTGCCCGTTGCGTTAGCAAGTGCAAGGTGTGAGGTTCGTTCGGCGGTGTGCCTCTTAAAGGCGCCGTCGTCTATAAACAGAGGTTTTGCCTGCATCACAAAAAAAAGGGTACTCTACTATATCTAATTACTCAAATTCAATGAATCCCTTACTGCACCTATGGACAGTGGCTACCAAGTTGACGCAGTGTACACTGACTACAGTAAGACATTGGAATGAACCCAGCACGATCTTCTCTTAATAGAGGTACAGATAATAGACGTCAGGGGTGATTTGCAGTGCTGTCGTGGTCAAGGAGTACATTCTGAGTGGCAGGGGCTTATATTTAAATCTGGTGCCTTTGGCCCTAGAACCAAATCAAAATATGTGGTCCTCCAAGCAAGAAGGGTCTTATAGCCCCACTACCCGTCAGGATTTTACAAAATCGAAAACTAGCATTTTTTTACCTGATGTTTGAAGTTGAAACTAGAAGCTAAAGCTAGCTTTGAGAAAAAGTATTTTTAAAGTTAGATTGAAAAAAAGCAGTTCTACTTACTTGTTGCATAATTTCCATTTATTATTGCAGATTGAGATCCTCTCCATAAAATCAACTTACAATAAAATTAGGTATATTTGTAAAAGAAAATAAACGATTGATACCTACATAGTCCACATATCGGCATTTAGTAAAAAATAGTTAAAAGCGAGCTGGCGCGTAACATAATGCAATTCAAAACATTCTTGCTTTAATTAAGAACTAACAAAGGAAGATCGGATTTTTTTATTATGTTTCGAAAAAAACAATTATTGTTTAGGCCACTGGTACCTAAATAACAAAAAATCGTTCTTTTAAATCGCTTTACATCACCGAATCGATTCTGTGATTCAATATTTTATTTACCTCAGAACCTCAAAAAAATCTTAAATAATCAACGTAATCAACATAAGACTGTTTGTTTGATGTTTGAAAGACATTCGTTGCTGAGTTATCATCAGCCTATTAATGTCCCCATTGCTGGGGCACAGGCCTTGCCTATAGATGGAATATAGAAAGATCGGGCCATGACCCACCACGCGGGCCCAGTGCGGATTGGCGGGGGCTAACGACTGCAGATGCAGCCGGGACCAACGGCTTAACGTGCCTTCCGAAGCAAGGAGGAACTCGAGATAGTACATTTTTGGTCACCCATCCAATGACCGACCACTGCGAAAGTTGCTTAACTACAACGATCGCAGCCGAACGCGCTAACTACTAACGCGCTAGCGTTGCTGAGTACTGACCAATATTTTGATTTAATCCTAAGGTGGGGTAGATGCAAATGGCTGCTGGCCCGGGGCGGCAAATTTCAAAATACGCCCCTGTAAGATACATAATGATCGTGTAAAAAAAAATTAAGTTTAACTAGAACGGCTAACCGGCCGGTCGGCCGCGTAGCACTATCTCCGCCCGAAGTCCATGGTTTAAGACCTAGGTTGATTGAAGGATAAGGTTGAAGAAAACTGTGAATCAAGTTAGGTCTGCTTTATTAACCTACATGTACAGTAGGTATTTATCATCCTTGCATGGGTCTACCAAGTCCACCTATTTCCAATCGCCCTAGCGGCGATTGTCACTGGAGGTAAACGGGAATGAAGCCATTGCCTTCCACATCAGCATTTTATACCCATTTGCCTCCGGTGACAATCACCACGGGAGCGACTGGGAACAAAGCGCCAAGTATAAGGTGCTGACTGGCCTGTTGCTGGTGGTGCATTTAGGATTTTTAACAAATATCGTTGACCTAAGCTAAACTTAATGGTGCGTCCCACAGAACTGTTACGTGGTGCGTAATGATCAGAGACAGCCTCCCCTGCGGCACGGACGGCTCAATCTGTTGCCAGAAGTGCAAACGCGCCTCAGCTCCAGGCAGGCCTTAAACGGGTTTCACACTACCCAATTTAAAGGGCCCCATCGAAACAGTGGGCGCGGCCCCTAACTAGGGTGGTAGCAACTCACACTATACCACCCTGAGTCAAGGTAAGGGTCCCTTAAAATTGGGTAGTGTAAATCTTGCATTACGCAAAGCTACCACGGCACGAGCCATCAACTGTCTGTTTTACTCTACTGTGCTCAAAGGCGAATCGGCGTACGTGCCTCGCAATTGTGAACGTGATTTAGGCACGGTTTTAGCCATTTTTATGTGGCGCCTACGTGGCTCGAGTCGACTCGAGGCAAGTTGCCCAAAACTGCTGTCTCAAATTATTTTAATTATTGACCGAGGCAGCCCCCGTGCGTGGTGAAGCTGCCTCTAATCCGTAAGCAGTTATGCACCTTTAAATAGGATGTGAGGTTGAAAAAAGGTTGAGGAAATTTTGCCCCAACGATATTAAATACCCTAGATACACCACGTGCGCTCAAAATGTGTCCCTATCAAGAAGTGCTTGAACACGACTCAAGCTCTTCTTGGTTCACAGTCACACGCGGACCGTTGAAAAGTAAACATGCCGCTGAGCTCCGTGAAAAAATGCGAAATGAATACTTATAGTATGTAAAATGTCATTCTTTCGACAGATATCTCATCAATGTTTGTTAATTTAACGCATTTGAAGCAAATTTTGTTTTAATACTTACTATAAACTGGTTTAATAGAAAATATTTGTGATATTCAAATGCATGGTCGGTAATATAGCCGTCTCTTTCCTCGCGGTCCGTACCTGCTGTATTACTAACAGCGCATTCAGAATTGCGCGTAGAGTCAAAGAAATAAGGTCTATATTCTTCCGCATATATGGCAATAAGTCGTAAAATTTTACGAGCTTACATCTCGGACTGTCATAACTCTTTGATGCATGCGCTTTGATTAAGACCTTATATAGTGTGCTTTAAAAGTGATTTTCAATGTTTAAATAACGACTTATGTTGTTTAGACTACGCGATTATCTTATGGAGCTCCGTGGATCGTCCAATGTACCTTTTGGACAGGTTTCGGGCATGGTTTTGTTCGTGTTGGTGTATCTAAGGAACTTAATATCGTTGTTTTGCCCTTTAAAAAAATTAACTTGCAATTCAGCAACATTTTATTAACTACAACATAATTTTAATTCTATAAGTTATCTTAGCTATCATATTCAAGGCCATGATCTCTTGGCTGTGTAACCTTCATATTTCTTTCTAGTTTTCAAGCCTGTAACTATTGTTGAACTTTTAGGGAAAGCTGATACTCCATTGAACAGGGTGTCTTTCTCTGGAACAATAAAAAAATATATTCAGTAAAAGTAAAACACATTTAGCTACGGCGGCGAATATGCACTATTCTTGAAAATGCAG